TTGCAGGAAAAGTTGAAAAACCCATTCTGTCTGTTTGATCCTCTGCCTAAAACAGGATGCAAAAAGGATGTTACCACTTACTTACAACCAAGTGTTCCACCCCTCCACTCTCAATTTGTTTAACTGCCCTCCTCCAGATCCATACAGGAACGCTGTTACTTATAAAATTCAGAAAAGAAAGGATAAGCCTTTGGTTCTGGCCCTCATCACATATATTTGCTGAAGTTTCATCCTCCTAAGGCAAGTCGAAACAGGTATCCATTAAGAGGAAGGAATCATTAGGGGGAAATATGGAACATTCCAGGGGAATATGCTTTGCCTAATAGCATCCTAAATGGCACACACATTCTTATTTAACGGACAGGTATTTTCACATGTACAGGGTGAGAAAAGGCTTTCCATCAGAACATGAGTAACAATACTACAGCAACAGGATGCTTTGCCCCAAAGTCATTTTTCTAGTAGGAAATGAACTGAGCTGTCTTTGGTTTCTACGCAGGAGCCTAGTGGAAAGACAGATTAACGAAACATTTGTACCAAACATCACCCGAGAGGAATCCGAGAGCCGTCTGGAAATAATGGGCTATCGGCAGAACTATTGCAGCAAAGGCTCTGAATGTGGCTGCAGGAAGTCAGCGCAGCCACAAGGTGCAACTAGGGTGGTATTCATTGTGCAGAGCAGGCTCAAGAGAGAATTTAAGAAACTGAAAGATGGCTTATAAGGGTTTGATATGTTTCTATAAACATGAGAAAGAGAACAAAAATCTTTGAAATGAAGTTGTCAGGTACTTAAGAAATGGCTCCAGTGCAAATTAATTTCCAATTTCATAGAATGAAAATGTTTACAATACAACACAGTTTTATAAAGGGCAAAGTACTTTAAGAATAAAGAGGTCATGCCAGAAATGAAGACAAATACTTGCGTCAAGAGGAATATCAAATCTGCTTTTACAACTACACAAGAAAATTTTGTATTTTACTGGAGTTCTTTTAGTCACATATTGAAGTGAAATTTTAATTCCTGCAGAATCATCACAACAAAAATTATGAAAAACACTTAGACATTTTTGACAAAACAAATTCCAACTTCATAAATATTTGAATAAATTAAGCAAAATGTTGTTTACTAACTCCAAAGACTAGGCTAATCATAATTCCTTAGTCCCAATAACTACCCGTTCGTTCTGTAACAACAGTATAGAGAATAGCGATTCACAAATTTGGTTTCCTCATCAAATTATCTATCTAAATTGCACCAAGAATAGTCAAGTAAACAGTTTCTCATAACCATTTTTCCATAAATTAAAAAAACCTTTTTTTAAAATCCTTGCCTGAGACATCTTTTTCAGTTTTTTTAGAGAGAGAGGAAGGAAGAGAGAAACATGGATGTGAGAGAAGCAGCAATTGGTTGCTTCCTGTCCACATTGGAACTGGGAATCAAACACGCAACCTAGGTATATGTCCCAACTGGGGATTAAACCTGCAACATTTCGGTTATGGGACGACACTCCAACCAACTGAGCCACACCAGCCAGGGCTAAAAAAATTTTTTTTTAATTTAACAGAGCTATAAAACAAAATTTAAAATAGAAAGCTAAAATCATTTCCTGAAAACTATGTTTATAATCAAGAAATTTTAGCTCTGAATAAATTCTCTACTGTTTTGGGATAGATCAAAGAATTTCATGTGAAAAGTGGCACACAAGTCAATTGTGGCTCTAAATATCAGAGCAGTCCTTGACTGAGAAGTTAAAACAATTTCTGTGTAGGTGGTTAAAACAGCAGAGTTTAAGGGTTTTGGTTCCAACAGGCTAATGTTACCAAAACCTTAGTGGGTTGACTGGTGACTAACCACGTGAGACACAAGATCTGAACGGGCTATAAGAAATGAAATCTTTTAAATGTCTTAGTAATGGCTCCTGCAAAACCATGAATAATGCTGTCCGTGGCACTGGATGTAGAAATGAGATGAATTTAAGTCTGAAAAGGCATCAGGAGTTTCTTCGGTAAGGCCTGCTACAGAGTATAAATGTCAATAGGAAGCCTCAGGAAGGTGACTGTAAGATGCTGGGTCCTCATCCCTTCCAGTGCCCCTTTCAGGCTCTCCAGTAGAGCTGGCCCACTTTTTAAGCGACTCATGTTCAAGAATACGAGCTCTTAGGGAATCAACCCCCCTCCCCCAACCAGGGTTTTGCTCTGCTATCAGAACCGTCTTTCTTCTGGACATACCTATCTACCACACACTATGTCTTTTGGCATTAAACCATTTCAAATTCCTGAGAGAGAGCTGCAATATTTTCCTGTGGAAGGGGCACGGAGCTATAAGTCAGCAGACATTGGAATTTAAGTTGTGTCACTGGAGGCAAGTCAGCCCTCCCAGGCTTCACATTTCTTCATCAAAGGTGCCTTCTAGATCAAATCTCTGTAATTCTAAGTCTCCAGGTTAGACATAGTCTGACCGAAGGCAGAAGCCTCTTTAATCCCCAGGCCTTGAAACAGACAACTGGCCCCTGAGATGTGTGGGAGCTGGAGGGAGGGGCATGGCTGACTGTGTCTGGAACAGCCCCTCTTTGGATAGCCCATGGTGTTTTTAGAAGGAAGAGGGGTACTGGCTGCAAGCCTTTCCCTCTCCGATCCTCAAGTTTATAGCCAGAAACTTCCTGTATGTTCTCACCTCCTTTCCCCCTCCCACACCTCAGGCTCTCGCTTCCCAGGCAACAGTTCTTGGGGGCCTTGATCACTTCTAGTAGATCCCTAACACCAAATGTGTGGGAAGGAGGCTGTTCTGAGCACAGGAGCTGTCAGCCAATCTTTTAAGAATAAAATATAATTTAACTCTAGGCCACAGATCATCTACTTACCTTCAACATTTCTTATTGCTGTCCCAGCCCATCCACAGATACCCAATCGCTCATTTTCAAATAATTTATTAAATTTGTTTCATGCTTTAATTACCAAACAAAGCCCACCTTTTGGGAGAAGGGGGGTAAATAGAGGGGCAGATTGGCTCTCCTAGTCAAAGCCAAGGGGTCAAATATACGACCGGCTCAAAGGTCCGTTCTTCACTCCGCTAACTCAAATAGGATGCTACTATGAATTACTAAATAGGCTTCTAAGTGTGTCAACAGATTGTCTCAGTGACTCTTCGCTATCGGGCCTGTTGCAAATGGTTGGACTCTGCCAGAGCCTTCACACAGGGATTCCGTAACCCCATCTGACTGGCAAAAGGGGAGATTCGTTGCTGCCAGGGGGCCCAGCACTGTCAGAGTTCCTGCTGGTAGCTGAGTGCTATCACAGGGAGGGTTACAATTTAACCTGCTAAATATGCAGAACTGCTTCTATCAGATTCACCTTGCCCCAAAACCAATGACAGCCCACTTGGAGAAGTATGTCAAACTCACTTTCTGTTTTAAAGGAAGAACCCTAAGATGCATCATTCCAAAATAAATTTTCTTCTTTAGACAGAAATTGTGAATAATTACCCCTAAACCTATAGGAAAAACAGAGCTTTTCCAGTCCGTATCACAGGATCTCATATGCCATTTAAGAGTCATAATTGACTGACTGACCCTCCATATAACTCTTCAAATGTCTTCAATAAAAATGTCTGATGTAAAATCACAAAAAATCCCAAGGAGAACCTGTTCTTTCTTTTGGGTCATCAGTGATATTTCTAGATTAGTTTTTTTTTCCTTTTTTTGGTGAATTGGTAGATCATTATTCTTAGAGATAATTGGAATTAAAAGTGAATCTAGATTTTTACATTTTATTGTATTACACATTTTCTCTAAGGTTTTTAAACCAAAAACCATCAGCATTTAGAGACTCTTGGCTTAACTTTGTTTCATGACCTACTCCTAAGAAAGAATTTTTCAGCCAGTAAGATTTTAAATTTAAATGCACTTTTACATCCACTCTCATCTCACTTGCTTCCTCAGTGGACATTTTGCTGATCAAGTAGCTGAGAAGGGAAGAGGTTCCTTATTATAGAAAGAACAAGGGGCAGTGCTGGCGTTTAGCGCCAAGATGGAGGCCGTGGGAGAGGGGCCAGAGTGGCGAGAACCCAGTGACACGCAGCGCCAGTCATTCAAACATCTTTCTCTGCTTTTATATCTAAGAAATGGTTCTGCATCAAGTTTTTAAATTTTGTGGATAAGTCTGGTATTTTACAACAAATGAATTAATATCACTTATATTCCTGAATTTCACCTTTCAGGTTTTTCTTTTCTCTTGATGGTTTATACTATGAGCTTAATAGAATGTCATATAATGTGTCACACTTCAGAGAACAGAATGTTATAGAAATGCTTAGATGCTGCTGTTGAACTATCGCTACATGAAGGCTCCTGAGAACGGTGATGACTGCAAAGAGGCTCAGCTGAGTTTCAACAATCCGTCTACATTTTTGTTACTGTCTCCAAGGAATTGCCTAATACTGAGAGACAGCTCAACTGTTTTTAATGTAAAAGTATTCATATGATCAAAGCTTCAGGTGTAGATTTCCTTGCTGTACTTCAAAGCAGTACTTCAAAGACATAATGATGGTTAAGAATTCAAGCCCTGAATTCTTTCTCTGAGATAGAAATAGAAAAAGCAGCTTTAAAATTCAGACATTCTTTTTCTGGAGATAGGGATGTAAGGTCATTTTTATCTTAATATGGATCACAAAACATTAGTTTTTCAGTTTTCATTTATCAGTCATGATATGCACAAGGAAAACATTTATAGCAACATAAAAAAAATAAAAGCTCCATTACTACATTAAATAAAGGTGAACAAAACTATACAGAATAAGAAACATCATCAATAAAAATTTTTTAAATGAATAAAAATGAATACTTACACAACAAACTGGACTGTTAACACAATAAAGGTAACATACAGTCACACAGAGAGACAAAGGCCTCAACTACCAAAATACTAGTTTGTCTCACTAAGTCCTCCTCATCGGGGCCTGGAACCCCGAGCTGGAAGCAGAGGGCTTGCATTCTCTCCCTCCCTCAGGCTTCTGCCCTTTTCACACTGGGGTACCAGTGTAGGAAGCTCCTGGACATGGCTAACCGGGCAGCAGCTCCTAAGGCAGCAGTGGCTGTGCTTCGAGGAATGTAGAATTTCTGAGAAATCTGGTGCTCAGGAGACAAAATCAAAGAGAGCTGGTCCATGGCTCCATAGCTCTTGTCTTTGAACACTGTGATAGCATGGCTACTAGAAAAATCTTCATTCTTTAGGCTCTCTGGAGAGCTTTCCACTGAAAAAGAAAGAAAGCGCAAGTCTTTTCAAGGGGTTCTCACACTCACTGCCTTTTTTCTCTTGTTCTAGATTTCTGCTCCAAGGGTCACAACCATCTTCTGATAGGTGGTGACAATTACCAATGGCAAATCAGAGGATGAGACTTAGAAAGCAATCAACAAATGGAGAGGAAATGAGGATGGGGAATTGTGCCCTCCATACAATAGATTCTTATCTGGATGAGGGCAAAAGGAGAGAGGGAAAAGTGCCCCTGGAGCAAGGAAGGGAAGCTTTCTTTGTAGGACAGCATAAACAGATGGGATGTGATTCCAGTTGCAGGGAAGAGTCCTTAAGCGCCCCTACTTCCTTCCCTGGGCGTCTTCTGTTGTCAAAGGGGCCCCGATTCCAATTCTGTGTCGGTGTGAAAATGAAACTGACCAAGGCTGTGGTTGCTACAAGTTCTAAAAAACGGGTTATCAGCCATAACATGAATTCTTTAGGAATTAGTTTCAACTAAGAACCTTTTAGGTGAAAGGATTAAGCAGTGCAAACTGGTAGTTGTACAACAGCCAGAGAGATGTGGACTGCAGTGCAGAGAATATGATCAATAATGCTGAGATAACAGGGGCGGGGCCCGTGGGTGCCTGGGGCTGTGGAGGGACCATTCTGTCCAGCACAAGCTTTTCCGGCCCCTTTGCCCCACATCTGAAACTGGCGTGGAATGATACTGAATGTACACTTCGGTAGAAAAATAATATAAATAAATAAAAAAGAAGTTAAAAAAGAACATTTTAAATGAAATACATTGCTTTGGGTCTCAGAGTTCCCAACAGCCAAAGGAGGGAATGTTAGGCATTCCCACGTGCGTACTCTAGACAGTTCTGCTAAAAGTAGCTGGTCTATGAGGCGTTTATTACCTGCCTACGATGTGAGAAGGAGCTTTTGCCAGCACACTGCTTCCTTTAAGAGAGTCCTGCTTCAGGAAAAAATCTAGGTGAGCTAAACAACGTGCTCTTGTGCTGTCCACCACCATAAACACCCCACAGGTTGCCGTCCATATGCTGACTGCATTTTGCAAAGCACTGCTCTAGACCTTAAAAACACAGATTTGAAAAAGAATTCCAAGAAAAAAGCAGGCATAATCCAGTATTTTTTTTTAAATCTCTGCTTGTTTAGCATGTGGTATATGTTCCATACATTTGTGATGAATTGTGTTCAAGGAGGATTTGACAGGTTATTCTAAAAAGTAAAACTCTAATCATAAAACTATAATTTATGCCCGCTAGAGAGGAAGAGATGTCGGTTTTAACACAATAATGCGGTTTTACTTCAGTGAGCTCAGATTTGAAAAAGTATAAAAATATGAAAGCAGGGCCATCATTTAAAAGAGTAGCAAAACTTCTGCTTTTGGACATGATATTAACAGGACTGAAAAACAACAGGAGAACTGGACAAAGTATGTGAAACAACAGCTCTGAAACCTGAGCAACATGTGTGCAGCCCAGAGACCCCTGAGAAGAGGGACAAAACGAAGTGAGCCTACGAGCACCTTAGCTCCCTGGGGAGCTTTTCCAGGCCACAGGATCAGACTACACGTAGTGCTCAAGTATGCATGAAACTTTTAAAAAGACAGAATGTATTCTAGGCTATATGATAAGTGTCCTACTTTAAAGGGATTCAAAGTATGTTTCCTAATCACAAAATTAGATTAGAAAACAATAATACAAAGACATTTGGAAAATCTCCAAACATTTGGAAATTACACAAACACTTCTAGAAGAGAAAACTCATAAGGGTAAATTAGACTATATTTTGAAATTAATAAAAACAAAAATGCAACACACCACAATTCAGTGCTCATAGGGAAATTTATAGCATTAAATATTTTAATGTTTAAAATTATATATAGCATTAAATATTCTAGTATCAAAAATCTAATATTAAACTTGTATTATAAAAAAAGGCTATAAAATGAATGACTTAAGGTTTTAACTTGGAAAACTAAAAAAAGAAGAAAATATTACCATCAAAGCAAGCAGAATAATTTTTTTTTTTAAAAAAGAGCATAAATTAATGAAATAGAGAACAGAAAAACAACAGAAGAAGATCAATGGAACCAAAAATTAGTTTCTTTGATAACTCTCTAAGCAGATTGATTAGGGGAAAAAAGATAACACAAATTACCGATATCAAAAATGAGAGGGTAGATATCACCTACAGATATTTAAATGGTATAGGAATATTATTAATATTTTATGCTAATAAAGTTTACAATTTAGGTGGAATAGATAAAATCTGTGACATCAAGACTACCGAAGCTCATTGAAGAAGAAACTGATATCTATATAATAGCTCTATATCTATTAAAGATGTTGAATTTGTGGTTTAAAACCCACAGAAAAGAATTCCAGGCCCAGAGGGGCTTCACTGCTGAAGTCTGCCAAATGTTTAAGAAAGAAATAATGTCATTTCCACACAAATTCTTACAGAAAAGGGAAGAGGAGGGAAAACATTCCAGCTCATTTGATGAGGGCAGCATTCTCTGGCCACCAAAACCAGACAATGACCTCACAAGAGAACGAGAAACTAACAGCCCCCATGAACAAAGACAAAACTTCTTAACAAGATTTTAACAAAAGAGTCCGTGAATCCTACATCATGATTATGAGGACATTATCCTGAGAATGAAAGGTTGGTTTCATATTAGAAAAATCAATGCAATTCACCCTATTAACAGACTTTTTTAGAAAAGGATAATCTCAATAGAGGTAAAAAAATAATAATTTGCTAAAATTCAATATCCATTCATGCTAAAAGCTATCAGAAATCTAGGGATAAACTGGAATTTCTTCAACCTGGCCAGGGCATCCACAAAAACCCTACAGCTAACATCATACTTTACTAGTGTGAGACTCAATGCAACCCTAAAGGTGAAGAACAAGACAGGGGATTTCACTCATCTCTTCTATTCAACCCTATATTGGTGGTCATGACCATCACAAGAAAACAGAAAAAAGGCAAAAGATTTCATATGATATAAACTGTCGTCATCCCCCCTCCCCACACAGATAATATGATCATCTATAGAGAATCCCAAAGACAAAACAAGCTAAATTTAGCAAGGTCAGAAGATATAACGACAATACGTAGAAATCAACCGTATTTCTGTAAGCTAGCAACAATCAAATATTGAAATAAAAATACCATTTATGCTATATATTAAAAATATGAAATACCTAAATACTAGGCATAAATTTAACAAAATACGAATAACACCTATATGCTGAAAACTACAAACACTGCTGGAACTAACAAAGACTAAAATACATGGGGAGACAGATCACACTCATAGATCAGAAGACTCAATATTGGTAAGATGTCCCTCCTCCCCCAACTGACCATTCGTGTTAAAAATCCCAATAAAAATTTTAGCAGGCTTTGTGTAGAAATTAAGTTAAATCTAAAATTTATATGGAAACGACCTAGAATAGCCAAAACAATTTGAAAGGACAAAGTTGTATGATTTCAAGGTTTATTACAGCCACAATAATCAGGACAGTGGTATACTGACATAGAGACCAGCAGAACAGAACAGAAGGCCCAGAAATTGACCCTCATGTATGTGGCCCACTGACTTTTGACAAAAAGATATGAAATTTTGTGGAAAAAGGATATTCTTTTCAACAAACAGAGATGGAATAAATGAATATTTATATGCAACCCAGGTAAACATTGATCCTTATATCACATTATATTACAAAAAACAATGAACTGGATCACAGACCTAAATATAAGATCTAAAACACAGAACTTTCCTAAAAAAAAAAAAAGTAAGAACAAATCTTACTTGGGTTAGAAAAGATTTCTACATAGGACACAAAATGCTCCAAACTCTATAAAGAAAAAAATCAACAAATCCTACTTCATCAAAATGAAAGTGTTTGCTTTCCCGAAGATGTTAGTGAGGAAATGAAAAATTAAGCCACAAACTGGGATAAAATATATGCAATATTATATCTGTCAAAGGATTTGTGTCCGTAAGAATTGTTTACAAATAAAAAGACTGTCCAATAAAAATGAGGCAATACGTGAACAGGCGATTCACTAAAGGAGATGCAGAGATGGCACATAAGTACATGAAAAGATGGTCAATATCACTGGCAAATAGGGAAAAGTAAATTAAAACCACAGTAAGATACCACTACACACCCACCAGAAATTAAGACTGACAGTATCATATGTTGGCAAGGATGTGGAGCAATCACAACTGTCACAGGTTGCAGGTGTAAATACAAAACGGCACAGCCATTTTGGAAAACATTTTGGCAGCTCTTAAAAAGTTAACCATGCAGTGAACATATGACCCAGCGATTCCACTCCTAAATATATACTGAAAAGAAATAAACAACATTGTGTCTACACAAGGAGCTGCATGTCGAGGCTCACAGCAGCTTTATTCGTAACGGCAGAAATCTTGAAACCCCCAGGTGGCCGTCACCTGGGGGCCAGATAACAAACTGCGGTATGTCCCTGCAACTGGGTGCTACTCAGGGAGAAACAGGTACACACTTTTGACACTGGCAACAACTTGAACGAATCTCAAAAATAATTTTGCCAAGTGAAAAAAGTCACTTTCTTCTTCACACATAAAAACGACCTACTACTTTGACTCTCTTAACATAAAATGCTAGAAAGGGGAGAGTAATGGGCGAAGCCAGCTGGCAGGCGGAGGGAAAGACCGAGGAAACCGTCCTACGTCACGGGCGTGGCAGCAGTTATCAGACTTGTGTACACTTGTCGACACTCACAGAACTGTACACTTAAAATCTGGCAAATTTTTCTGTATGTAAACCTGACAGCTCCCCGAACTGCAGGTAAAAAGGAAGACTGGCAAAGTGAAAGGGAGCGACCGACCCCAGGCCTGGAGACAAACGCTAAAGTCGGCACTTTCCAAATCCTGCTGTGAAGAAGAGAAGGTTTGGCAACGTGGCGGGCCGCCGGGTGTCTCAATCCTCTGTGAACCTACCCGAGCCCGAGCGCTTCTCTGCGGCATCCACCGCGGCAGGCGCTGCATCGAGCACGGCGGCGCGGAGCCGGGCCGGCTCGGGCGGGGTCTGAGCGCCGGGCGGGCGGCCCCGGCTGCCGGCCGCGGGCTGCGGCGGCTGGGCGCAGGAGCCGTAGAGCTCCCCCAGTTCGGGCAGCGTGGAGGGGCCAGGGTCGGGAGGGCCGTCCAAGTCTGGCTGCTGCAGAACGGGAAAAATGAGGCAAAGGCATGAAAAGGAACTGTTACTGTAAAGTAAGAATGAGGCCTGTTGTTTTTTTCCCCTTATACAAAAGACAAATATTTTTATATCATAAATTAATAGATCTCATTTTTAAGAATTAAATGCTCTCTAAAAAAGTCCGCTAACCCAGCGACCATCAATTCAGTTCAGAGGACATTTCTAGAACACGTTTTACGCGCGAACGCGGTGCCCACAGGAGCTGGCGCGCATGCGCACTGAGGCGGAGTGGCGGGAGACGAGGCCACGCCCCGCGAGCAGTCCTCGGTCAGGCCACAGCCGGCGACTCGCCTGTGCTGCTTCATTTCAGCGTCAGAACAGCCAATTTTTGGTTAGGCGTTATGCTTTTGTACTCCAGCTTTTTCACTCAGTCTAACGACTTTTACAGAGAGATGTAGTAGGTTCTTCCACGTCAATCGATAAATGACAAGGCCGAGATGTGAACTCAGTCCGGTCTGTCTTCGCCTCCCAGCAGGATGCGTTCGCGGTCCCGAAGGTGTTCACAGGCCTCAGGAAAGCGGCGTCCCTGAGGCGGCTGGCCGCGGACACACGCTGTAACTGAGGCACGAAGGGGCGCAGGGAGGGCTCCTCAGGGGTGACTTGACGGAGTGTTTGGGAACCCGGGTGTGGGAGAAAAAGATGCAGGCCCCGGACGGAGACTGACTGGGAGCACGGGATTCTGACGCGCGCCAGTGCAGCCGCCGGCAGCCAAATTTCACGAGTCCCACAAACCGCCCCGCTGCTTTCAGGACGCTCATAATATAGTTGAGGAGAAACGAAGTCATTCTGTTCCAGGGTCAGTGTGTCCGCCAAAGCCAACATAAAAGAAGAAAACAGGCCTAGATGATAGGACACACATAGAGCTTAAAATTCATAGCGAAGTTACAGGAAAATACCTGTCAATCCCTAACACAGATGTTTAGTCAGTCTTCTAAGTTTAGGCTCAGGAGTTTCTTCTGAAGAGATGACTATGTTAGGTTCACCGACATTTTAAAATCGACACACACGTATGTATACGTAGTCGACGAAATGGTAAGGGCGAGGCCATTAACCAGAATTTTACTTCCTCGTGCAAACCTGTGAGAATAGCATTCATTAGACATTTACCTTCCCAATTCCGGTTGTCCCGGTCTTCTTTTCCTGAGCACCCAGGCCTTCTGGTTCTCCAGCTTCTACCTGCGTTCCATTCTCAAGCCCTAAAGGCTGACATGAATCATCCCATGTATCTTGTGTGGAAAAACACCAGTCCTACAGAGAAAAAATTGCAACAATAAACTGAGATGTAGGGCCACATGACGTGGGCAATGTCAAAGCAAGGGGGTGACGTATATGAAACAAGGAAAGGTATCCATTAACATCCTCTGTCAGTGTGACTTCTTCTTGCATTATTGATCCATACCCAGTATCCCAAATTCCTTTGAACACAGCAGATCTCATAAAAACAAGTGTGACCTATTCATAGTATTTTCTTCAATACTGTGTTCATGGCTAGATAATTTTCATGCTCATCTAGTATTTAAATGGCATGAATTATAAGGAGCACCTTAACTGCAGATATTTCTTCTTTTTCATAACCAGTGGGATTATTTAAAATTAAAAAATTTTAAATTATTTAATTAAAATTTACATATACTCATATAGTTAGGACCAATGTTAGCAAATGTCCTCACTGTAGAGACCCAGAAGTTATATTACAAGACTAATGGGACAAAAATAAAATTAGGGAAAACAGTTTGTTTATAGATCCTATGGCCCTGGCCAGGTGCCAATGATGAAGCAAAAATCATAATGACTGAACAGGTTAGAGAGGCACAAAAAGTCTATGGTTTCTTCATCCCTGCTTCAACCTCTCTCTCCCTGCCCCTGCCCCTCTCCCCCCATTACTATCTTGGGAAGAAAATGGGCATTTTTCTGAGTTATCTTCTGATAAATCACTTTGAATTCCAGAGTAGAGAGCTTTCTTGAGGTGCAGATAATTAAGTTTACATTTCTTTTTTTTAGTAGTGATTTGCTTGCTGTTTTCTCAGTATCTAACCTTCTCGGGCATCTCTTTGCATGACTGGTATGGCTTCTTTCCCCCATGGCTGGAGGTAAACAAGTGGGAGGCAGCATCACCTCCTTTTCCCATTTTAGCTTGCAGAGGCAACCAGTTCTCGTCCCAAACATCACCACCTATGGTCACTGACTCCAGGCACGGCATTCCCGTGGGGATCTCATCCTGGAAGGTATCAGGAGACAAGGAAAAGTGTTCTAGTTCCTGTATCAGCGCATTTTAAAATTTAAGTCTAACATTTTTTCCTGACTCCAGGTAAAGATGGCAGTTTGAATACACAATTTATTACTCCCTCCCTCCTGAGAGATCACCAAAATAAAATAAAAAGATTTAAGGTATAAACTCATAGTCAAAGAGGAGAGAACACCATCAATGTTCTCTTCATACATACAGGGAAGCAGAAGGGACCGCTGATTAAGCAGTCCTGGGAGAGTGGAATCCCAAGCTTGTAGCGGAAAAACGGAGGAGAACCAAATTTATACCATCGATACCACAAAAGTGCAGATACTAGTACATAGGTTCTTAGAAGGAGGGGTAAAATGGAAATGAAAACAAAAGCACTGATTGGATGAGTAAGAAACAGATCCAAACAAAACTGAAACAGACTCATAGACACAAAGAGTGGACTACGGGTTGCCAGAGGGGGTGGGGGTTGGGGAACTGGGTGGAAAAGCTGAAGGGATTAAGATGTCCAGACTGGAAGTTACAGAACAGTCATGGGGGCACAGAGTACAACATAGGGACTGCAGTCAGTATTATTGTGATAGCTACGTATGGGGCCAAGTGGGTACTGGGAATACTGGGGGAAACACTTCGCAAAGTATATGACTGTCTAATCACTATGCTGTACATCTGAAACCAATACAAAACAGTACTGAAATTAAACTGTAATTGAAAAATAAAAATAAAAAATGCAACAACAAAAAGCAGCAGCAGTTAGATCACCAGATTCCCCACCCCGATGCCCCATCTCAAGGACCCAGGAAACGGCACACCTTTCTCCTCCTGAAAGACCCAAGGGTCTTCTCCGGGTAAAATTGAGGGTGGAGCACAAAACGTCCCATGTGTTAAAGCTGATGGGACAGTATACCAAAAGAAAGTCAACTTTACTGTACGCTGAGTTAAACAGAAACATTAACACTAAAGAAAATAATAGTTATGCACGGAAGAAAAAGTTGCCGTAACATACTACTTGGCTGTGAATAGCATTTACGGAGTCGAATAACACAAACATCGAATGGCGAGCTAACAAAGTTTGAAAACTACTAGTGAGACAGTGGGGGGAGACAAAAAGGACAGGTTTGTGTGTGGTGGGGGGAGGTTCATGCATACATACTTAAAACTGAAAAATCAAGAAATGACAACATAAGCATGTTATTTAATGAAAAAGTCAAAGTAAATTCCCAAAGCATTAGCTAAAAAGAGATGGAAATGATTGTTTTGTGAGACAGGAAATGTAGGAGAAAGAGTTATGAGGGACCCTAAGCTATGTGCGCATAAACATCTAATTTAAATAAAAATTCTTCCAGAAAAGTTGTCAACATTTTTTCCTGATGGGTTCTCCTCATACTGTTTCTCAGTACTAGTTTCTAATCACTGCATAATTCTTGAAGACTGCCCAAAGCTATGGGACAGTCACTGATGCCGCAAAGCCAGATGACACCCTTTGTGTTTTGTGATCGAGGCTCCTGCTGCTTCAGCTCTGGGACTCACCCATGGGCGGCGCCCTGACTGCACTGAAAGCAGCAGGGTTACTGAGCTCTTTTATTCCAGCCCCTTTGTGTTACATTAATTACATTTTTTAAAAGACTGTCTTTCCTTCTCCTACCTCATTTTCTTCCTTCAGCTCCTTTAGCTCTGGCATGGAGCACTTTGCATCTTCTTTACAGCTCTTATCTTGGTTTTTCAAAGAGCTGAATTCAGAATCCTTTAATGGCTTCTTTGACTCATATTTTATAAAGTCAATGACAGCCTTTTCATCATTAATATCTTGCTAGTAGATATGAAAAATAAATTATTTTATTTTTTATACTAACACTGTTCCCAAAATCTACATGCCTACATTCAGGGCGGGGCGGAGGGGGGCGGTTTTTTGACAAATGCTACCTTATTTTCTAACTTTATCCATGACCCTCAGTCTTCCCATTCTGCTAAACTAGTTCAGAGCAACCAACGTTTATCTAGCACATATTATGAAATGTGTGCAGAGTAACTGTGATTTAAATGAGTGCAACAGGTCCCAGCTCTAAAAGAACTCAAATATAGCAGGAAGACACACCATCGGGTAATTGTAGTACAACTGTTAGTGCAGAGCCCTCACAGAGATAGAACCAAAATAAAAGCAGGGAAGAAGGGTATTCTGAGAAGACACAATGAAGAATTTAACACAAATTGCTGGGATGCTTAAAAGAAGGGTAGGAATTACAGGGAATGAGGTGTGTAGAGGCTGGTGTATATTTATAGCATGTGGCAGTGTTGATGTGTTAAATGTAGGCTGAATGAAATAGGAGAGTTCTAAGATTTATCTCTTTTGCAAAAAGATGGCCTTATTTCCTTTTTAGGATTGAACCATGATTATCTGAAGACGTCAACGGAGTGATGATAGGATATTCTAAAAATTTTAAAGGTTGAATTCAATTCACTATTTAAGAATCAGGAAATGTAATTGTTCTAATCAAGTAATAATGACTAAGAAAAACTCAGGCTTCAGGAAGCCAAACAAGACAAATTAATTTTAACATAAAAATTTAACATAAAAAAAGGACATCAAAAATCCTTATATTGCTTTAAACGTGCCACAGGGAACGTTCACATATATTTTTCAAAGCCAGTTAGTCTCCTGGTAGTCAAAATGGCCTTTCCTTTTTCTTTTCTAATAACTAGTATCTACTAAAAACTACAGTCATATCAATAATTTTTAAAGTCACATATATAAAATACACCTAAACAAAATGATATTTTATTCAAAGAAAATAAGCCTTATTGTGTCCAAAGAGACCATTTTTTGGTGCTCCCATTGAACACGCCCTATATTATTAGCCTAGTACTTGCTGTAATGAGGAATATGAGGCTCAAAGGACATGTTTATTTGTTCATTGGTTAAAAAAAAATCATTAAGTTCTTACTTGTGTTTCATTTATATCTAAAGTGGGGGTAGGAAAGTACCAACTTGGTGAAGCGATTGTGAAGATAGATTAACTAGAACATGTGAGTGCGTATGACAGTGCCTGCCCCATAGCATGTATTTATTTTTATTACTGCTACTGGAATAACAGTAGTAATGACACTTTCACTGCTGTGGGTGGGAGCTACAAAAGGCTTACAGAGAAAGGACAAAATGAGAGCAGCTGAAGACTCTGAGGGGCGTCAGTGCTCGGACAGGTGCAGCAAAGCCACGACCGTGCTGAGGCTGCCATGGCCTTGAGTGCTTGAGAATTCATACAGGAGGAAGCATGACTGAGGTAAAGGTTTGAACCAGCAGTTAATGAGAGATGTAGGTAGCTATGAAGATCATTTCCTAGGTTTGGAAAGCCTCAGTTTCCTCATCTATAAAATAAAGATAAGTACAGTAACTACGTCACAGAGGTTTTTATGAAGATTAAATAGTGGATCATACTTCAAATTCTATTTTACAATGTTTGGCACATAGTAACTACTAATTAAATGTTAATAATAAAAAGAATTATAATCATATTTGCAAAAACCTATTACCAGAGCACATGAATCACTCTCTTTTGACAGCAGACTGATCTCTTGGACTTCCTTAAAACAGTGGTGCTGGGAGGGGCAGCCCCGCTCTGTCGGCGCGGCATCCTCTGGCCCTGCGCTGGATTTGGTGTATAAAGCTAAAGGGTTGAGTTCGCTGAAACCCTAGGAGTAAATAAAGGAGGAGGGTTCAGTTACTCAGAGAAATGTGGAAAAGTGAGCACTTCATAATTTTCAAATGTTGTAGAACTGTATTCTCTTCTAAAATTTAATAGTAAAAAAATTTCTATATTGAAAGGTTTTTTTAGTCACAAAAATTATCAACATCAATATTAACAGTGATGCAGACATTGCTATCAATAATTGCAAACTAAGGGAGTACTGTTCTTCTCTAAGAAAACCTGAGAGAATTAAGTACTTTGGGGTAAATTCTCAACGAATTATTTAAAACATAAATATTCACAGTCTAAAGGACAGTCAGCCAAATGCAGTTTTTTTGTGGTCATCTGAAAATGAAGAATGCACTCTGCATTAAGCTGGCAAGAGTCTCACAGGTAACTCTAAGATGAAAGAATCCATCAAATAACCTTCTGTATTTAATTCTCCTCTACCTTGAAGTGCTGAGATTAAATAAAACATATTACAAAATACATCCAGACTGCTCCACCTTAGAAGGGACATTTTCTCGGCATACAATGGCATGGCCCTCTGTCCTCAAGACATGATGGAAATAGATGTCTTCGTTTGAGGATGTATCACACAGAAAAATGTTAAGGATTCCATCTATGTATTCATCCACTACCCCCACTAATGGCTTCAAACCACACAATTTCTGAAACTGCAAAATAGCTCTGGAAGTCCAATATTCCTGAAATATAATCAAGACAGGATAAATTGAAACATGAATTGCAGTAACCATGTACAAAACTGAATTCCTGATGGACTACAGATTATAGTGGAAAAATAAAACCATAAAGATACTAGAACACCACACTGGAGGATGCTTATGATTTCTGTTCCTTTTGACCTATGAGAGCATCAGAACCAAAGTTCAAATTTGCCTTGACTAGCAGATAGCCTTATGGCAAAAATAGTTCCCCGCTTCCATTTAATTTTGGCTTGATAATTTGTTGTTCCCTTAATCATCTTTTTTTGGATACTTTTTGGACACATTTAAAAATATTTTATCTGGAATTTTTAGTTATTTCTGAAAGAGGACTAGTCTAGTAATCTTACTGAATCATATGTGAAAATGAAAGTTTTTCATCATATAAAAATATAAAATTTTTTCTACCATCACATTTTTAATCATTTTTCCTTAATCCTGAACACGAATATGGATCTCTACCTTAGGTTCCTGTCTATTTCTCTGACATCATTCACTATGCACCAACTCCAGCTCATCCTACGTTACCCAGCCAAAGAGAACCACTTCAAACTCCTCAAATTTGAGATGTTTTATGCTACTCAATTTGCCTGGAATGTCTTCTCTTTTTTTGTTTTGTTACAGTATTAATCTTCCCTCAAAGTTCCGTTTAATAAATGCCACCTGTTATGGGGCCTTCCCTGATTACCCTGAACAGAGATGTGTACTCCTCTTTGTACACCTCTACCACACACAGCAAAGGTTGACACAGTACAGCTATTTCTGTCTACATGTCTGTCTTCCATATTATCTACAATGATTTCTTTGAGGGCTCATCCCAGGTTTTATTTTTGTATCCTCAGAACCTAGAACTGTTCTTGGCATCAAATGCTTTCTGATTAAGGGAGAACAAGCACACATACCTCTGCTGGTCTCACCCATGCCAAAGAACAAGGAATAGCCTGAGCTGGAAGCTTTGTGTAGCAGCACCTGCAAAAGATATATGAATATTTAATCATTTTTTAAAATTTCATGTTATGAATTTCTAACCCATTTCTTGATTTTAGCTTTTCACACCATTTCAGAGTACTTTCTTCATGTATGTTACATTAGTATCTTTAAGCCATCTAAGAGATAAAATGATAAACAGTAGTTTTTGAAAACCATGCAATTAAAATCTAGGTACGAAGAGCATTAGCTTCATGCTATATAAATGCAACTCGTAGCATAACCCCAAAAAACCTTTTCTTAATAAGAGGTTGAAATTTAGTCTCATGGTCCATTCATATTCATAGACATATGAAAGAAGACACAAGAGATTATAATCCAACTGTGAAACTAAACTACTATTTGCCAAGTCCATGCTAAGGACAACAAGGGATGGTAAGGAGTGAAGAATAGAGGGAAGAAGGCAAAAGAAAATAGAGATACTAAACCCACAGACCTTCAGCATTATGATTCAAAACTTAAGTTGTCCTTATTTTAAATCTGTGAACTCACTTGAGGAATCTCAGGGAGGACTTCTGAACAGTTCCAATATTTCCAAAGTCAGGGTAGAACACTTCAACTTCCTGTTTCCCAAGGACTCGATGGATAACGACCCGATACCACCACTTATCCTCAGAAATCCTTACACAACAGAGATGTCCCGGTTGCATAAAATATTCTGGCATGGCATATCGATCAGAAACCAGCTGATTAGAATAACAGCGCCTGTGGAATTCCATGATATGGAAACCCGTGGAGAAGAAAAAATTAAAGATTATTTTTATTGATATATCAAAAGAAAGTCTGGTCAAAAAGCAAAAAAAAAAAAACAAGAAAAAAACAAAACAACTTCACTTTTTCTGGTTTGTTAATGTTTATTAGTACCAATTAGTTTTATTTTCCTTTTTCTTATGCAAATCCCTTCTCTTCATCAACAACCGTTTTCAAATAGAAACTTACACACTTACTTTTATCTCACATTCTCTGCAATCCAGTTTCATTCCCTAGAATGTCCTAAAATGGACATTTTAAGGACACCAATGGTTTGTTAATTCCCAAATCCAACAGCCTTTCTCCTCAACTTTCAATATACTTACTCGCTCTGCAGGATGACCCTGATCCTGCCTCTTTCAAATTCTATCCTCCTTCATTTCCAAGACACTCTTTTCTCCTTCTACTGCCTTGCCCATAATTAATTCCTTTACTGGCTCTGTAACTGCCTTGAAAGTTTGCTTTCTCTGAGGTCTTGTCTTTAGGAAGTACAACAAACTAAGAGCTCAGGCTTTAAAACCAGTAATATGGGTTCACATCCTGACTCCATCATTTACTAGCTGTGTGACTTGATCTTTCTGTGCTTCCATTTCCTTGTTGAAGATGGGGATGGTGATAATAAATCCTTAGTTACAACATGTGAATGTTTAGCACAAGTCCAAATAAACACTCAAACAGTAACTACTTATTATTAGCCTTCCTGTATACCGTCTCATCCACTTTTATATTTCATACTGCTGTTTAATTGATGATTCTCCATCTTTTTTTGTTATAAAAAAGAGACATTTATTGAACAAGATACAAGAAACATTGTACATAGGACAACGACACCTCAGTCCCCTTCAAAGTAGGCACCTTGGGACACTGTTCTCACACAGCTTTCCCAATTGTCATCAGCTACCGTGTCATATTTTCCTGAATCTCACTGATGGTCTGAAATCTCTTCCTTTTAAAAAAAAATTAATATTATTTCCTATTAGTTTCAGGTGAACAGCTTAGAGGTAAACCATCATATACTTTCCAAAGTGATCCCCCCAATATTTCAAGCACACAGCTAGCACCATACATACTTCTTACACTACCATTGCCTTTATTCCCTATGCTGTACTGTGCAACCCCATGATCATTTTGTATCTACCAATTAGTACTTCTTAACCCCTTCACCTACTTCACCAAGCCCACCAAACCTCCTCCTCTCTGGCAACCATCCGTCTGTTCTCTGTTCCTCTAAGTCTGTTCCTATTTTGTTTGCTCATTTATTTACTTCTTTAGATTCCACATGTAAGTGGAATCATCTGTCTTTAGATCCTGCATCCCTTCTGCACTTTAGGACTTTAATTCCAACTGTATGCAAAAGATGTTGGTTGTCCCCTGATTTTCATTCTTCTCTCTTTTTTCTGTAGTAATAGAATCCTTATTTTTAAGTGAGTATGTGGCCATTCAGATTTCCCAGGCTCCCTTACATCTAAATGTGGCTAGGTGAATACTACGTCCTGGCCAATAGGAAACAGTAAAGTGTGCGTGATTAAGATGGTGAATTAATGTGTATTTTACCACAGTTTTTAAAAAAGTGTGGAGCCCTCACTTGTATGGCGCAGTGGACTGAGCGCCAACCTGCAGACTGGGGGGGTTGCCGGTTCGATCCCTAGTCAGGGCACACGCCAGGGTTGCAGGCCAGGTCCCTGGCTGGGGGCATGGAAGGGGAAACTAATCAATGTTCTCTTGCATATGGATGCTTCTCTCCCTCACTTTCTCCATCCTTTCCCCCTCTCTAAAACCAAAATCTTAAAAAAAAAAAAAAAAAAAGTAAAGTGTGGAAATACACATTGTGTCTTTCAAAGAAAAGGGGATACCTCCAAGCATCCCCCCCTTTTTCCCTTTCCCACCGGCTGGAATGAAGACCCAGTGGGCCTGCTGATGAGCTATGTCCTGTACCATATGGATGGGCCAGTACATTGCCTGGGGGAACAAGACAGCAAACACCTGGAGCCATGCTATCCGGTCTATACTGCTTATTCACAGGCAACAATATGGGAAGAAGCAATAAACATTTATCTGCATGCTACAATGGCTAAATTATGTCTCTGTGACAGTGGCTAACCCTAATCCTGATATTATCCACTCAATCCTAATATTATCTAGGTGACCTGGAGATTATTGCCAGTTCACTATCTTCGGATTCCCTAGCAGCACTCTGTGTACATTTCTAACTTCTAACCTCAGCTCAAACCCACCTTATCTCTAAAGTCAGCTGTTTTCGTATTTTCCTTTTCTCTATTATCCTTCTCAATCCCACTCTTGTCGCCCAGACTCGACAATTATACTTTCCCAGTTTCTCTCCAATGTCTCTCTTCCTTTCCTCTCCCACTCTCCCTCACCAACAGTAGCCTGTTAACAAATCTTCTCCCCTTTACTCTGTCCATCCTCCACGCTACAACTAGAGTTTTCCTTCTGAAATACAAACCTGTGGGTGTTCTTTCTTAAAACATTCAGAGGTTCCTCATTGTCTACAGCAGGGGTCCCCAACCTCCAGGCCATGGACTGGTAGTGGTCTGAGCCTGTTAGGAACTGGGCCACACAACAGGACATGAGCTTGACTGTCATGGGCTTGAATCATCCCCAAACCATCCCTCTACCTCTGTCCATGGAAAAATTGCCTTCGACAAAACTGGCCCCTGATGCTGAAAAGGTTGGGGACGGCTGGCCTACAGAACAAGTCAAAATCCTTCCTGTAGCGTTCACGCTCTAGCTCTTCCCTAGCCTTCCTGTTTCACATCCAGTCACTACCACCGGCCCCCACCCCCCCACCGCCGGTCTCACCCAGCGGTGACTTTACTCCTCTATTTGTTGTTCCCAAACTACACCGCTCACTCCTGTGTTAATGTTGGCTTCGGTGCCAGTGACTGGACCTGCACACACCGTCTCACACCTCCTGGCTGGCAAACTGGTACTTGTTTCTGAGGCCTGGCTCAAGTGCCTCCTTTGTGAAGCCCTGCCCCACTGTGCCCTGGCGAGCTGCTGCCTCGCGCAGCACCCACTTACCACTCCCGTCTTCCTAGCCAACCAGAGTGTTCACAAAGGCAGCAACCAGACCTGTCTCCTCCTGGTACTGCCAGCACCTCTACATTCCAACACCAAGCAAGAGCAGATACAGCATCCATAACAACACTGGCCAACATTTCAGCTAGACTCTGTTCTAAGAACTTACATGTTCACAGCTCTGTGAGGTAGGTACTATTATTATCCCCATTTGGGAAATTAGAAGACCAGGCCCAGAGAACTAAAGTAACTTCAAGGTCACCGAGCCAGCAAGTGCACTTTAAAACATATACTGACTCTTAAGAGTCATGCTGAAATGGAATATATGAGAATATTTTTACTAAGTGATTATTATGTGGCTAACACTATGCCAGGTGTTCTTGGGTGGGAGATTAATGCGGTAGAATTTTTTAAAAAACCCATGAAAGGCTTTTAGAGAGACGCAACATAAATAATAAAAATATTCTGGTATGTGACACCAACGTAAAAATTAGACATTGTTGTTCATGAATAAACATAAAGCGATAAAAAAATGTACACATTTTGCATGGTGTTTATTAACAAAGGACATCATTTTTCAGGAGAGAAAAGAGATAACTTAGAGCAGTAGTTCTCCAAACGTAGTTTGCAAACCCTGAAAACCTTGATAACCCCTTTTCAAAAAGTCTGTAAGATCAAAGCTATTTTACCATTTTAGCGTTACTATGAAAATAGTTATTTGCTCTTTTCACTGTGTTAACATTTGCACTGATGTAGTAAAAAGCAAGGGTGGGTAAAACGCCAGGTGGCTTAGCTAAACCAAGGCAGTGGCACCAAACTTTACTGGTAGTCATTTATTTGTCACTTTACTAGTAGTCATTTGTCTGTCACATTACATAAGAAAAAGAAAAAAGAGCCTAATTTCCCTTAAAAATATCCTTGATAAAGCAACAAAAAATTTGTTAAAGTTATTAAATCTCAACCACTGAGTGACTGTCTTGTCAATAGTCTCTGTGACAAAGATGGAGTACGTGTAAAACGCTTTCCAAGTTGTATTAAAGGAAAGCACTTGTGCATGTGACTTGTGAATGAACTAGCTGCTTTTTTGGTGGAGTATTATTTTTATCTGGAAGATAAACAAGATGTCATTTTCACAGAACACCATTTCTGCTTGAATGGACCACTAACAAACTACATTTATTCAGACTTGGGTATGTTGACACACATTTTTTTCAAAAATGAAACAAGTCTGTCACTTCAAGGAAAATATCGAGAGTATATGTTGTCAGTGACAAAATACAAAGTTTTCAAATGAAAATTAGAATTCTTGATATGTTGCATTCACCACCACGAGCTCGATGGCTTCCTAATGCTTTTCTGATGAGATCAGTGAGATATTAATGAAGATGATCTTTAAAAATATTACGTGATAAAATATGTCAACATTTGGAAGATTAACATAACTTAGTGAATGATTATTTTCCAAATGACCAATGCATGATGTTTTAAATCATAGATGGGGGTAAAAGATCCAGTCAGAGTCAGTTTCACTGAGTCCACACTTACAAGGGCCCCCATGACTGCTTTAACACACTGCTATTGCTGCCTTGACTTCTTAATAATTTTTAAACAAGGAGCCTTGCATAATTTTGCACTGCAGCCTGCAATTACACAGTCAGTCCTGGATCTGTTCAAAGTGCAAAGGCAGACCACAGTAGCATATAAGAAGTTCAAATGCCACATTGCAATCAATCTTCAAGAAACTCCTACCTGTCAAGTTTTGGTATACTATCAAAGAAAATTAGCAATTATATGAAAAGGCTATTAAAATAAAAAGGCTATTAAAAGGTAATTAAAATACTCCAATTACTTGTGTAGGAGAGGTCAGGTGTATCCCTCTACTTCAACCAAAACAATGTGTATCTCAAGATAGCAAAGACAGAAGCAGATATTTAAAAAATCTAGCTTTCTTCTATTGAGCCAAATATTAAAGAGATCTGCAAAAATGTAAAACAATGCAACTTTTCTAATTTATTTGATTGTCATAAAAATGTTATTTATATCCACACAAATGGATTATTCTTAAACAAAAGGTTTTTTAAAAATTTTGTGGTTTTAATTTCTATATGTTAAATATTAATAAGTGAAAGTTCTCTTGGGTCCTTAATTTTTAAGAGTCCTGAGGCCAAAATGTTTGAGAACTGCTGATTCAGAATGAAATATGTGAACAAAACATTGAAAATAATAGACTCCTACCGCATTTCAATCATCATGTCTTCAAGTAATTCTGATGAGTCCCTGCTATAGATTCGGATGTAGAATTGACTAGGAGAGATGATATACTCCACAAAGACTCCCACGAGGGTACTGGTATCTAATGGTGGCAGTCTGCATAATTTCTTGTCTCTTACAGCATCTGGTGGGATGTCGTGATTTGCCGTTGCCATGTTGAGCTGTGATCTGTCAATTTCTACTTGCTACAAGTTAAAAAAGAAATCCAAGAAGCCACCATAAATCTTTGGGTGACATCTCAAACTCTACAACATTCCTCAAAGTATATTTCATGCGTCACTTTTATCAGAATCACCTAGGAAATTATAAATATGAAGATTCTTAAGCTTTAGCCCACACTGACTAATTCAGAACACCTGGAAGTGGGGCCCACAAATATGTATTAAAAAATTTTCCTAAGGTAATCCTTAACTACATCAAAATATGAAAAGTACTGCCTTATGATATTAGGTAGAGAGTTACAAATGTGTTGCATAATTACCATATACAAAACCAAACACATGGTACTTCAAATAGGCTGCACTAAGACAGATTCTCATCCCACCCAAACTTACCAAAAAAGGTAACTTTAAAGAATGGATTAAATTTCAGACTAGTCTTATAATCAAAAATAGGGTTTCTCAAACACTCATTCTAAAACATACTATTTTCCGTTAGGCCTTTCTACTGTCCAGAAAATACAGCAGGCTCTTCTAACAAAATATTTTCCTTCCATGAAAGAAGTAGGTATAGAGGGTAGAAGGGAAGAAGAGTAAGCAATTCATTCCTTAGTAACAACAAAGCAAGTAATGGAGGATGAGAACACAAAGAGGGAGAATTTGTGTAGAGGCATCACGAAGAAGCAACAACAGAAGCCCCCCACACTTGAGGGTGGGTGCGGGGCAGCGGAAGTGGCAGCCACAGCTGCCACCATTGAGGCATACAGCTAACACAGCGCTCCTCCTTTCTTCCCTCCAAAGCAGTGCAGGGTTTCCAAGCCCACATTTTGAAAATCTTGGACAGAGAATCAGCGATGTCACCTTGACAGAAGGCAATTTTCAAAGCCATATGAAACTTTAAAACAAGACTTGAGGGGAAGTTAGTTATAAAACAGACTGAAAACCGGAACAAATGCTGCGTAAGGTGACTTCAGACCAAAGCTCTGGATCTCTTCCAAGAAATCAAATACCCAGAAATAAGACTTTTCTAAAACAGAACTTTGGTTTAAGCATTCAGTTGTTCTCCATAACGCTGAGTCTCCAGGCACAAGTCTGTAAACCTTACTCACCAGCTGTAAGGGCTTCACCACCAGATTAGGCTTCTTGTAAATCTTCTGCTCCGGCTCTTTATGATTTTTAAAAGACCAAGCCCATGTGTTCTCCTTAACAACAGTAGTAGACAATGCCTTTCTAGGGGGGCTAGAGACACAAGGTTTGGCTTCTATTTGCTTATCTGATTGAACTAAACATGTATTTCTGACTGATGAAACAGCTCCATCTGAAATGACCAAGAGAGTAGCCTAAGTACAATATAGCTGTTAAAATATTTTTATAACCATTACTAAGCACATTCTATGTGCCAGGCACCGGGCAGACAATGATAGATGAGATACAAACCTGTCTTTGCACAGCCTTTCAAGATGGAGACGTGTAAAGGAAGTTCTAGGTGGGAACAAATCTTAAATTAATTATGTTGGGGGGACAGGTTGATTCAAGAAAGGCTTCTTAAACTTTGGTGATAGGTTGTTTATTTTTCAACAACCTGATTTCAATTTATTTCTTCAACTCTAGCAATTCTAGCCATAAGCATTTCATTGTTGCTTAATGTATCATGTATGTGACTACTTAGTAGTCCATAATAAGATCCCAAATCAATCACATATTTTGTTCAAACTTACATGTATATGATGCTTACAAGAATCTGGCATATTAAAACAGACCCAGATACATCTAAAACCATAGTGTCTCCCCGAAAAATAAAACTAATAAGTGCACAAAGAGGTAGATATATTATGTATCACTATGTTTTTTCATGATGATGAAAAACGGATATAACCTACATGTCCATTGATGGGAGGTTAGGTGAATTATTACATAGTCACATAAAAGAATTATATGTAGTTAAAAAGAATGAAATCAATCTGTATATGCTAATATGGAAAAACATTCATGATTTATGAAGTATAAAAAGCAAAGGATTATACAATATTTATGTAATATCGGTTTGTGTAAAATACATTATACAACTATGTTACATAGAAAAGGTCCATAGAGACCAACTAAAACTACTATCTTTAGTTGCCACCTCTGCATTGTTGGAGTTATTTAAACAAGCAAATATAACTTTTGTAATCTTTTAAAAACCTAGCTATGCTTACATATGCAATGAAAAAAGTCTGGAAGTCTATATAAAAATTCTAGGCCACATTTCCATACATTTTCAAGGCTAATGTATTATCTGTTTGGTTATAACAAAGAATCTTACATAACCAATGCTTTCTTTTTCCTTGTCCTTACAGGAAAAACTAAAAATCAGGTTTGCTTCCTATTGTAATTCAACTCACCACGTGGTAGAGGCTTCATATCAGCATCAAACACCAGTAAGTCTTGCTCTCCTTCCCTGAACTCCACATAGAGAATGTCACCAAGAGCTCCAACAAGTTCTATAACATTTAAGAAGCCCAATTTTTTTGGTGAAAGTTGCTCTTTAAAAACTACCTGTTACAAAAAAAAGGGGGGGGAGAAAAAGGAATAACATGGAACAGCAATGTTAGATAACAGAAACATAATATTTACAAAAATCCTTGGACAGTGTTTTAATTTGGCCTCAGTCAAGCTAAATTTGTAAGGATCAGTGAACTCAGGTGCTACAGTAAAGGCTTGCTTCCATGCAAGTGTAATACAAACCAAGAGACCTATAATTCCTCACTCTAAAACCTGTAGGCCAGCGTAAAATTCATTTCCGAGCAAATGGTAAATTGAAGTGAAAATTAGGAGACCCTTTTATCTCTCAGAGATAGCCAATCTATCAGATGCAAAGTTCAAAACACTGGTAATCAGGATGCTCACAGAAGTGGTTGAGTATGGTTGCAAGATGGAGGAAAAAGGGAAAACTATGCAAAGTGAAATAAAGAAAAATATGCAGGGAACCAACAGTGAAGGGAAGGAAACTAGGATTCAAATCAACCATTTAGAGCAGAAGGAAGAAATAAACATTCAACTAGAGCAGAATGAAGAAACGTTCCAACATCCGATTCACAGGAGAGAGAAAAAAAAAATAGGACAACTGTTAATAGCATAATCAATAAAATATACTTAAAAAATAGTAATTCCTTAAAATTGCGTCTATTTCACCCTGGAAGTTGGGATAAACAAGCAGGTATCAGTGCATTTTCTACAACACACTCTTTGATTTTTTTGCCTTGAAAAGTAAAAATTATACCAAGTATATTATAAATAGAAGTGAATACACACAGGATAAATACTAAATATATTTTTTTTCTCCATGTAGGATAAGTACAAACTTCTCACTATACAAACTCAGCACAAGGGAGCGGGAGGCCTTCCTGGGAAAAGGCAGGAGGGGTGGGCGCGTGGGAGGACGGCCAAGGTTTGATATCGCAGTGATTCTGCAGGTGGGTGCTGCCAGTTCAGCGGGGGGGAGGGGCGAGGGCCTGGAGCCTAGCACACCTGCCAGGCGGGGCGGTAGGAGGCCACCTGTGTCGGCGACTCATTCGGGGGAAAGGCAGGGCTCACCATGGTCAAAAGAACTGTGGGTTGGCATCTCAGGAGGTGGTGGTGGCGGCGGCGGCGGCAGGGCCTGGACTAACAGGACACAAGGGTGACCACAGGCTGCCGCTTCTCCGGCTGAGGCCGCGACTGCATGGCCCAGGCGGGCGGTGTCCTTGCAGAAGGCGGGTGGCGGCGGGGAGGGCTCAGGCAGGGGTAGGGGCGGGGGGGGGGGGGGGGGGGGGCGCGGTGTCTTCTGTCTACACCGCGGGCGCCCGGGGCAGAGGCCCAGGCCTGGGCACGAAGGGAAGGGACACGCCGTTTCTCACAACGGGCCTGAAGGCCGACAACCGGCTCCTCTTGGGTTCCTGGATCTCGAACCAGAGTGGCCCGTCGAACTTCCTCTTCCCTTTATTGCACTGGCTGAGCGCCTTCAGCACCGTCTCCTTCGCGCAGGGGTCGGGGGGCACTTCGGGTAGTGGACATATGTGGAAGTTTGGTTTGCTCCCAGGAGGGGTAATTTTGACAGTCACCGGGCTCAAGACGCTTCGGTGGCGGCGGGGATACCAGAGCTGCGGCTTCGTCCTCCTCTTGGGAATGCCGGAAAAATCCCGGCCCCTGGGGATCCGGCCGAGCGGCTGGCTGGGAAGGCGCCTCCGACCTTCGGGCATCATGGCCCTCCGGGTTCTGGCGCAGTCCCCGCCCGACAGTCCCAGCTGGCGTTGGGTCCGGACCCAGGGCCACCGCCTCCGAGGGATGCGGGGGTCTCGGATCTGGTCCGGACGCCGCTGGCGAAGAGAGGGCATGGACTCTAGGGTCCGGCGCCCTTGGGTGGGGGACTGTAGTGTGGCATTGGCTGTGGTCCGGTACCTGTCCAGACAGCTGCTCAGGTAGTTACCCATGACCGTGGTGAAGCGGGGTCGGCGTCGCCAAGGAGACCCTGTGCTCCCAGACGTTCCTGCCTGCACCACCTACCTTTGTGACGTCTCCGAGCGTCACGGCTACGCCCGCGGCCCGGGCAGCCCTCGCAGTCAGGGCACTACGTAGGCTGGGTTTCGGTTGCGCAGTGAACTGTCAACTGGGCCCTTGTTCATAAGCCCTTGCATTAAAAATTCAAACGCTTAATGGAGCTTCTGTCTCCCTGGCCAAAGTTAAAGCAGTTGAGCTAAACATTATTATGTCTACATAGTTATTGCTCTCTTCCTCCGACTAGGTGTTAGTAGGAAATCCACGCTCCACCTTTATTACCTTGTGGGATATCGACAGGAGCAGAGAAGGCAAACACTCTAAAAGGGCTGATTCCTGACAGAGAACGGGACTGTTACAACGCACACCTTGTTGCTTGTGTGATGCTCTGAGAAGCAACTCTTGATGAGTTCTCCCAGGGGAGCCTAGTATCAGTCGGGTCATGGTTTAAAAGGGTCGTATTCATATCCTATCTGCAGCCAATCATGAATACCCCAAGAGATAAAGAATTGGGAGAGGAAACAGGGAGGGTGCCGGGGAACTGACTTAGTATCTCTACTTCTTTGTACGTTATGTGTGTATTACAGTTTCTTTCCCTTTCGTTCATTATTTACTTCAATGGTTCTCTACCTTCTCCGTAAGTACTATGAATAAGCAATTCAGTTCAATGAAAGGCTAGTTTGGAAAGGATTTTTAAATATAATGTATTAATTTTTTGAGTAAGTGATATTCAAAAGTCTCAAAAAGGTATACAGCAAAAACAGTCTCTGTCCTACTCTGACCCATCAGTCACCCAAGAGATCAGCTCCGGGAAGGTGACCACTATCACCAGTTTCTTGTGCACTCTGTATTACCCAGTTCTATTCTAAGTACTGTCTGTGGATTTCTGGTTTTGCTATCCAGTTTCTCTCTCCGTCTTTACATGGAGCTTCAGGAAGATCCAAAAACTATACTGCTGATGTACTATCTCCCTTCATTTAGCAATTTAATAAGGGATTTTCAAAAATGGCAGACTGTTGACCAGGTATTTTAAGAGGACAAATCATATAGGTAGTTATATATCATGCTCCATAAAAGAGCGTCGCCAGGTGTTTCTACAAATTAAAGGTTAAATTAAGTCTAAACTTACTAGACACTTATAATCATAAAATTGAATTTCTGCCTGTTTACTAAGAAAAGCAAAGAGCTTCCCTGTAACATTAGAAGGTTTCTTTTAATTTCTCCAGGATTGTTGACTTTTAGCCTTAATATCCTAGACATTTATCACAAGAAGCTACATTTGGTGAAATGTTTGTGATAGAAAACTGCTCACTCCGAGCTGTGAGTCTGGCATAGGAGGTTGATTTTATCCATAAATTTTGGATAATTAAATCATACTCTATTACTTACAGACTTTATTCTGTAATTTCATTATTAGATAAGTAGTAACTTTGTTAATCCAAAAAACATCAAAAGCCTTTGTTTCAGCTTCTCCCATGTACTTGAGAAACACTGTGCCTCTGAGAGACATTTCTTTAAAAAAAGGTGCCTCTAAGAGAGACATTTCTTTAAAAAAGGTGAATTTAAATTTTCTCTATCACTAAGAGAGACATTTCTTTAAAAAAGGTGAATTTAAATTTTCTCTATCACTATCTAAAGGGTGATGTATATTTTCCCTAAATTTTCTTCTTTTAACATTTATTGAATGGTTACTCTATGGCAGGTACTGTAGTAAGTACTTTATGTTTAAGTCACTTAAACTTCACAAAACTCTATAAAATTAGGTAATATTAACCTGACTTTACATATCATCCATAAAATAGCACAGAAGCGATGTATCTTAACCATTATGCGCTAGTATCTCACCATATCTGTGTTCGTATCTGCAAATATGTGGCAGTTTCTATGGCATGGCAGTTAGGAGGCAGGATTCTGAAAAGACAGGCTGCTGGGGTTCAAATCCTGACTCCACCCATACTAGCTACCTGACCCTTAGGCAAGTTACTCCTCTGTGCCTCAGTTTGTTGTGAAAATCTAATGAATTACTGCATGAAAGACATTCAGGACATAATGTGGCACACAGCTAACATACGTATCGGACTTAACCATTTTTAAAAATTGGATATATAGCAGTATCTGAATTATCATTCTGCCATTTGATGTTTTTTTCATTAAACATGGTGGTTCTAAAATTGTTTCATGTTCCAGAATAAATCTACTTTTTTTTTATCTACTACATATTATTCCATTGCATAAATGTCAATCCAGATTTATTTATCCATTCTCCTATGGTGGCCATGTAATGTTTCCACTTTTTTACTATATGGCAATGTGCACACATCTTATGTCTTCATGTACACATATGTAAGCATTTCTCCAAAGAGCATGTGCAGATGTGGAGCTGCTGGACCAGTGGGTGCGAATCTCCAGCTTTACTTGGTCCGGCCAAAGGGGTCTTGTCCCACAAGCAGTGGAGAGGTACCGTGTTCCTCCACATCCCCTCTGCCACTTGGTATCATCAGACATTAGAAATAATTAGAATAATTTTATTCTAATACCAGAATGATAAGTGGTAAAAATATCCTTCCTATGTATCATTAAGTATTTGTTAAGAATCATATTCTTAACTCTTTTAGTAAAGAAAGGCATTATCAAAATGCAAAACAAGATGTTTAAGTTCTAGGGCACAAACTGGAGGATCCAGGAAGTAGCAACAAAATTTCTATCTATCAAGAAAAACATGAGCCATAAAAAACCATGGTTGGTGAAAAAGAAACACTCACCTCAAATTCTCTAAGCAGTTTAGAAATAAGCAATCCCTCTGGAAACTTGGACACAACCTAATAAATAGAAAATGAAATAAAATATAGATAGATACCACGGGAGTGCTGTGTGATAAAATATCAAAATAAGTATAAATTTAAATAGTAACAAAGATTTTTTAAAAACATGTTATTGAGTGAATGAAATAGAGTGGCAATGTTTTTAAGTCAGTTTCCTGTTTTTAAAAAACATTTTAACAACAAAAAAGCAGTGCCTTCCAACATTTCCAGAGTTGCAAAATGAGTCTTGCATAACACTGCAATGTCACAACTCTCCAGAAATTCCTATAGTTCTTTAGCTCAGCTAACACATTTAGCTTGAGGGCACATTAAAAAAATCTGAAAAAAAATTCTACAGCACAATTTCAAGGATTTTAAATGGCAGAAAAGTCCAATCGATATTACAGAAAACTTTGAAAAATACAGTTAAGCAAAGAGAAAATATCCAGGTAGTAGCCATTGTCCATGTGCACATAAAAACACTTATATTCAATACAAAAATTGTCATTCTTTCTATAACCAGTTTTTAAATATCAAGCCAGAGACATATTACCATGTCAGTAAATATGGATCAACATGTTTACTGGCTACAGTTTTCAAAATATTCAAACATCACAAACATGGCAGTGACTATCCTCATACTTGGATCTTGCACATTTGTCAGTTATTCATTTAGGATAAACTCCCATAAGTGGATTCAGTCTATCCCGATAAAGTATAAAAAAGCTTTGCATTTTCCTCAAATTTTCATGATACTATGTATTTTATTTAAAATTCTAACTCAAGTTTCAGAAAAATGTGACGTAAAAACTATTCCAGAATCCTATGACCTAGAAGCAGCTGGTGCTGCATTTCAGAAACGTCCTCTGTGAAACCAGTCTATGCACGAACACATTCACATTATTTGTAATTTTATGTGAACAGACAACACCAAGCGTGTCATTCTATGAAATCTGCTTTTAAAGTTCCATAACATGGTAAGGAGGTACTTCCATGTAAATTAATTGAGATATACATAAACTTTCCTGTGAGCCACATGTATTGATATTCCCTAGTTTGGGTGAATAATTTAACCAATCCTTTACCAATGAATACTTAATATTTCTCTAATATTTTGTTACCATAAAAAGTCATACTCAACAAATGTCCAAACAAGAAGACAGAGCCTGACTACACAAAGGTTTTCGTGTTTCTCCCATTTAAACCACGACAGCTCAAATGGAACACAAGGCAGTAAGAGTCATAATGGCACTCTGATTATTCTAATTACAATTAACAGCTCTCACCAAAGTTTTAAGTGTACATATCCATTGACCCTACACGTAACAGCCAAAGAGCTTTTACAATTAATAAGGAGAAAAAAATAAATTAAGCCAAGGACATAAGTAATTGGCATAAGAAATATAAATAGCTATTAAGCATATGAAAAGATGCTCAATATAAAAATCAAGAGTTAAAAAAATAAAATTCAAGAGTTGTAAGTTACAACAGCACAACTAAACAGTAACATTTCACTGTCAGTGGGAGTGAAAATTTCTTCAAACCTTTTAGAGGGCAATGTAGTAATATTTAATCAAATCTCAATCAATACCTGTCAACTCCACTTCTAGATAAATGTTAAAAGACATTAACTGCAGCGTTTTTTAATAGTGAAGGCTAGCAATAACCCAAATGTTCATCAAAAACAAATCTTGTAAATGAAATATTGTACATGAAAACAATGGGATTCCATATGCAGCTGGAATAATATTTGATATAACTATATATAAAACTGGTACTGGAAAGATCTTGACAATGATTTATTGGGGTGAGAGGAAGAAAAAAAGGAAGAGAGCACATTTATGAAAGAACTTACATTTTACAGATTTTTCTTTAAAAATTTTAAGAGTATGTAATTTATTTACTGTATTTTCTGATCTTAAATAGCCATGGCATTTGAAATACATTTAAAAAGATCAGGCATAAATATAAATATAAATATAAATATAAATATAAAAGTAATAAATACTCATAGGCAACTTAAGCTTAACCACAAATGACATCTACATGTCTAATCAGGTATTCTTTTCCATTTCCCAGAAACAGAAAACACTTACAAATTTTATCTTATGTTTTAGTTCTGGATCGATAGTCCCACCAGGTCCAATTTGTGCAATAACTGATTTGAAGGTGTTCTCCAACTATGAGAAAAAAAAAAGTTCAAGTTACAGTAAAAAAAAATTCAAAGATAAATCTGAATAGTATACAAAGGAGATATCTATCAAAAGAAGTACTTCAAATCAAATGGATAAAGATTGTTCTCAAAAGGCACTGTAACATTTCATACATATAAAACACATTCAGATGAAATCTTTGTAAAACTAAACACTCTGAAATTTTCCAAGGTCATTAACATTTTCTATGACAATTAGATTCTAGAGTTTTCAAGTCATCAACCCCATACTCTTACCCAGAAAGAAATTTTGTTACTCATTTTCTTTATAAGTTTTTGATGTTTATTACACATATTCTTAGTGCGCCACTAATGCAGGGAAGAGATGGGAAGGGACAAGGTCCCTGGCAGGCGGAATTCAGTATGAGCCAGGGCTTTGGGGGAATGGCTGGTCCTAAAGGGCAGAAGGAAAAGCGCTTCTGTTGAAAGAGAAATGAAGAACCAGTAAGGACACAGAAAGGCTCTGTGACTGGGGTCAGAAAGCGGAGAGAGTGACTACCTGATGCATTCTGCGTTCAGAGGCAAGGCCCACTCCCAGGAAAAGAGGGGAAAGAGCGGGAGCTCACACAGCTGAGAAAGCGGAAAAATAAGTTAAGGAAATAATGGGTGATTATCTGAACTCAACGGATGGGGAGTAAAGATAGGACAGGCCCAAGTTAAGATAGCAGGGGTAGGAGGACTTTGGTGGAGAGAAGCCAATGGCAAAGGTAGGCTGCAATAAGGTAAAAAGAGGGGCATGGGATGAACTGGAAAAATGAGCTGGAAGCACAGATGCTACGATCAGAGAACAGCATGGATATATGCAGATGACCAAGGTCCATGAACAGCCACGGCAGGGGAGGCCTAAAGTGGAATGAGAGATGGTGGAGTTACATTTAAAAGAGGCAAGTAAATACAGTGGTTCTTGAACTTAATTCTTTCCGGAAAACTGCTTGAGAAGCGATTTGTTTGAAGACCAAATCTCCTTTGTTTGTCACCTGAGAGACGTGTGACTGATCATACAGATTATAAACAAGAAAGGGTTATCGGGTTGAGAATTGAGAAGCAAAATTTTATTGGACAACTAAGGCACTTTTTTTGTAAACAAACTGGTCGAGAACCAAAATGTTCAAGAACCAAGGTTTGACTGTATGAAAAAAATATATATATATATGAAAAGATACAAAGATATAAAGAAAAACACTAATTACCTAAAATGCTATTACATAGACACAATCACTATCAATATTTTTTCCTTCTAAACTTTTTACTTTGTAATCTTCTTATTGTCACTTGGCCAATCACTGCTTATAAACTGTGACCTTTTAGGTCTGTTTCTTCATCTGAAAAATGAAGATAATCTCAATATCTCATAAAGCTGACATGAAAATGGGATCTGGGAGGGGAGATTAGATTCCTATGATTATAGCACTAGCTTTCACCAAAGGCTTCAGCCTCATATTCTTTATTTTTCTCTGCATCTGCTATAATTCCCTAAAGTTCTCCCAATGAATCATAAGAGAATCTAAAGTAATTGGCTTTTCACATCTTAACAGGTTCTCACCATTTGAAGATTCAATACAACAATTTGTTATATTGTCACTGTGCTACGTGTTTCAGGGCACAAAAAATATAGCCACTTTTCATGTGTTGCAAAATAATATTAAAAGATAGCATTATTCCTCTCAACCCACTTACAATTAAGTAGGAAAATGAGATAAATGTGTAAACAGCTATAACCTAAGGCTGACTCTAAGTACCATCAAAGTACAAAAGTGCAGAAGGATACATCACATTAATGTCCATATAGACAGGAGCTCTCTCCTTTTTGAAGGGCCTTAAAGGATGGTGAGGATATTGCAGAGGAACGGTAAAGAGGGCAATGAAGGTATAAGGAATTTCATAAACAACAACAAAAAAAGAGGATAATTTGCCTGAAGGCATTAGAAAGCAGTGGAAGAGAAAACTGGAAAAGGTAGACTGAAGTTGTATTACAGGATACCTTATAAGCCAAACCAAGGAGTTTTCTTGGTTATGTAAACAATAACTGATACTAGAGATTTTTAGCTATGGAGAGATGTTATCAGTACTTTAATCATGCAGAAAATTTGATTGGGAGGGATGGGCAACCAGTTAGGAGACCACTGCAACTCTGGCAAAGAGTTTTAACTAGGGTGCTAAGAGTACAAATAGAAACAAAAGATAATACAAGGGTGGAATCCACAGAAATTAGGAAGGAATACAATGGAGAAGGAATTGCTAGTTCTACAGGGATGAATAATAAGACACCAAGTTAACTGACTCAGAGGGCTCACATTCTATGCAGAAAGCTAACGGACCTTAGATGTAACGATAGGTTTTTGCTGGCTTTTCCTCAGTTCCAAGAGTTTGGGAAATTGGGAAGTAAATGGCAGGATGGTGAATACAAATGTGATTCCTCTCTATGAAGAATGGCATGTAACAGGGTCAGCAAACTATGGTCTATGGGACAAATCGGGCCCACCATCTGTCTTTGCACAGCTGAGAATGACCTTGACATTTTTAAGTGGTTGAGGGAAAAATAAAAATAATAATATTTTCTGACAATGAAAATGATGTAAAATGCAAATTTCAGTATCTATCAATAAAGTTTTATTGGAACGCAGCCACACTCATTTACATAGTGTCCAAGTTCGGTTTAGCACTACAAGGGCAGAGTTGAGTAATTATAACAGAGATCATTTGGCCCCTGAAGCCTCAACTATGTACTATGTGGCCTTTTAGAGAAAACATTTGCTGAGCCCAGGCTTTAGATATCAAAATGATGGACTAGGAAAAGAGTGCGCCTCAGGAAGATGAAGAATAAAGTTATTGCCTTAAGTTAACTGACTAAATTAAGCTGACTTTAAACCGAATGGGGTGAGGGAGATTACTGTAAAGTCCAGGCAATCTTGGGGGTATCTATAATTAGAGGGTCGAAGTTATAAAGTGGAAGAAGGTAAGAGCTGGAAGCGATCCGTGACTGATGTGAGGAAAGTAATCAAGCGGGTCCCTGATTTCAACAATGCTTTAGTCTCAGGTGTCCAAATACTAAATACAAAAAATGGGCAATAAATCAAGTAAACAAAGGTTTGTAACACAGCTCTGATTGGTGTGGCTCAGTTGGAGGATTATTCCCACAAAATGAAGGGCTGCCGGTTTGATTCCTGGTCAAGGCACATGCCAGGGTTGTGGGTGCATTGGGGCACATATAGAAGGCAACATGTTTCTTTCTCACATCAATGTTTCTCTCCCTCCTTTTCCCTCTCTCTAAAAATAAATAAATAAATATTTTTTTAAAAAAATACATTTTTTAAAAGATTATCATATAGGGGCATGCATAAAATGGAAATTGTCCCTCCCCTCAAAAAAAAGCCATATTCAGAAAGGAGCCCATAGGACCAGAGAAGAAGCAGAGGAGAACTTTGAATCGAAGAGATACACAGAAAAATGGACAAAAAAACAGGCTATTGATAAAAATGCTAAATAGTCAACAAAAACATATAGTCTCTAATAACGTAAAGACAGCAATAGTCAGTTATCTGTTAATCAAATTGAAAATTATTTTTACGAAAATGCCCATTTATCCATTCAACAAACAGGTATTGACCACATACTACGTGCTTCACACTGTACAAAAAGCTGAATGTACAGGGGAATTGGATATGGTTCCTGCCGTCATGGAACTTGCAGTCTAGTGTGGGGAGACAAACAATCCTATAGATAAATATATAATTACAGTTATGATAAATGAAAAGCACACGGAGCCATGAAAGGATAATATGCCTGAAGGTGTTAGGAAAGCAACGGGAGATGTTAACTGGGCAATGGGAGACGAGGAGTCAGCAAAGAGGAGGTCAGGGGGTCTACTGACACTGAGTATTGGCAAGCATACAAGGAAAGCAGCACATTCACAGACAGGTATGTGCATGCTGACTGCAACGACTTTTAGGGAGGACAGCCTAATACATAGATAAAAGCCATGAAAGTACACATTCCTTTTGGTGCTGTGATTGCTTCTCTAGAAATTCATCCTGTGGAGTAATGGAAATATGTACAAATTTGAGCAAGATTTTCATCATGATGATATTTTGTGTAGCAAAAACTAGAAACCACCTACATGCCTCACCGAGGTCACAAGTAAAATAAACTCTGGCACATCCACACTGACATCAAAAATATGTTCTATTAGCAATATTTAACAGTGTGGGATTGGTCACAGTGCAAAAGTACAATTAAAAAAAACAGGTCACAAACCTGAATCAGAATTATTTTAATGTTTTTTTCAATAAAAGAAAATGTCAAATTATCTGGGCAATAAAAGTATAGGTGATTTTTTTTTTATGCTGTGCTTTTCTGTATTTTAAATCTTCTGCAATCATTCTGTGTTACTCTTGTGATAAGAAAAAGGTTTTAAAAACAGACACACACCTAGGTGATTTTTAGAAATATGAAGGTGACAACATTTTGGAAACAAGATGCATGAGGCTAAAAGCAGAAAGGAACAGAAGCTACGTCTTAGAAGACTATACTACAGGTCTTTGGCCATGTGGTAAAAACATTAGTAGACTTCTGATAAAGATCACAAAGCTGGCACAGACACACAAGCAAAAGCAGTATTTGCAAGGTGGCTTGTTTAACTAAAAGCTAGGCAATTACAGAGTTTGACCTGCCATAATAAAAATTTTATCGAAACCCACGGGAAAATAGGTAGGGAACAGCTACTCTAAGTTGGCCAGAGAACACAACTTCCAGAGAAGTGCATGAATGAACCCCCTGAATTGCTCCTTCTGACAGCAATTGTTTAACATATCTAGCCACTTGTCCAGAACACTCATAAAAGATAGCTGGGCCACGTCATCCTGTGAAATATAAAAGCTTCTTTTCTTACATGCAATACCAAGTAAAGCATCTAATTCATGAAATTAAAAGTTAGACACAAACTAAGACCCAGCCCTAATTTTTAATTCATATAAGCGCAGATCTTCTTTTATAATTCCAGGTTTGCCTACTTAAAAATCTCATGCTGAATATTACAACCAAGTTTGCTAACGTGTCCGAAGCAGGTAGGTTTGGAAGGGGTACTAGATGGTACTGAGGCGAGAGGCCCCAGAAACACCAATTTCCCGTTCCTTGACCAAACATTCCTACAGGCAATGACCTATTAATGGGAAGTGAAGTCACACCAGTGTTGGCTGAGCTCTAGGACCACACACGAAGGCAGAGGATGCTGACAAACTGGGCTGGACAGAGCATCTGAGGCTTCATTCGCTAGACAATACGGCTAATCTATACGCACCCATTCACATTTTCATTCCTCGTCTAAACTTCTTCTCAACAGGTCAAAATAAGGGAAATTGAATAGATGTGGTTAAAAAAAAGATTATGCATGTCTTGTGAGAGAGGCTTTAAATTCTTCTAGGCCACGTGCTCTGGGAAACAAAGCCTGGCAATGGGCAAGGGTATGGTGCTAATGACCCACCCCAGCTGCTTCTCTTGCAAGTAAAAATGAAGAAACACTAATCCTCATTTTACACAGAAGAAACTGATTTTTTCTTTTTAATGATATGTTTTTATAATGACAAATAACCTATGTTCACTGTGTAAAACATACAATACAGATCAAAAAATTTACAATTTAAATTCCATGTTATTATGTATTTATTCCTTTTCTATGCACATAAAAAGGAATAAATATATATTTATTTACTTGTGTCCTGGCTGGGAGGCTCAGTTGGTTGGAGCATTGTCCAGGGCACCAAAACATTGTGGGTTCGATTCCTAGTTAGGGCACATATCTAGGATGCGGGTTTGATCCCCAGTCAGGGCCTGTCAGGCAGGCAACCGATCCAGGTTTGTCACACATCAATGTTTCCCTTTTTCTCTCCCTGCCTCTCTCTCTAAAATCAATAAACATATCCTCAGGTGAGGATTTAAAAAACCCCACACATATTCTCAGAGTTGTAAGGTAACACCTTGGAAACTGACAGATCTACAATTTTGAATTGTTTACAGACACTATTACAGATGTCCCCATTTTTTTCTCCCCTGTGACCACCTCCACCCAGCCCTTGCCTCCCACCACCTTTGCTCAGGCCAGGAAAGTTGTACTTTTTATACATAGGGCTATGTAGGATCTACTAATTATGTAGAGTCTGTCCTGCTGGGAAACTAAAATACACAGTTTAGGAATTAGAGCCCACTCCTTAGAACAAGATTTAAATAGTTCCAATGGCAAAAACTTCAGGAATGGAAGTAAAATGTAGTTATTAGGTTTCATCTATGAGGAAGTCTTGGAGCTGCAAAACACAGGAAACCCGAAAAGAAAAATAAAGATACAGAAACAGTGTATCTACACCTGTCCAGGCCCTCCTTGGAGCCAAGCCAGGAGGGCGGCCCTGAGGTCTGCACATGCTGCTGCCCAGCTTAAAGGCAGGCTCTTCCCCCTCCATTCTGTAGGTTTAAAGTCTCTGAGAAAGAAATATGCACATTCACCGTTCAAATTTTTTTCTGGAATTTTCAGTCAGTATACTAAATTTAGAAAATGAAAATAAGAACTTTACATATTGAAAAACACAAAGGAAAGTTATTTATAAACATTTTTGAGGTCAATTCAGAAAACCTATGAGAAAACCATTAAACAAGATCAAATTCAGTAAGATGGCCAGTTTCAAAATAATATTTAAAAAAAATCAATTTCTCTCCTCATAAGCCATAAGCAGTTAGAACACCATTCTCAATAACGAAAGTATCATACTATACAATACTGAATACACTTACGAGAAATGTACCAAACTCATAAACTACACATCCGCACTGAAGAGCATGAGATAATAATAAACAGAAAGCTGTATATTGAATAAATATATTAATGTAATGTATGAAGTCTCTAAATTTTTAAAAATTTAATTCTAAGAGATACCTCATTGAAATTTTATCAACTTACAAAAATAATTCTAAACTTCCAGGAAAATATATATATTACAATAGAAAAAGGTCTGAAAACAAACTAGGAGAGGCTTGCCCTAACAAACACTAAGGTAAATTTAGAATTACCAAAATAGAACTGGTATGGAAACACACATACACACCCTCAAAATTATAATCCAGCTAGATTAAAACTTGATCCATATCACATACCTTATACAAAATTTAAACTGAAATGAATAAAAGGCCTAAAACTAAAAATCCTAAGACTTCTAAAAGAAAACATAGGAGAACATTTTGTAACTCTGGATTAAGTAAAGATCTAATATAGCAATTTTCAACCTTTTTTTAAACCTTGTGGCACACATAAACTAATTACTAAAATTCTGTGGCACACCAAAAATATATTTTTTGCTAATCTGACAAAAAAATAGGTAGGCAAGAACCAAAAGAAAAATATAAATTAGATTTCATCAAAAGTAAAGACTTCTGCTACACACACACACACACACACACACACACACACACACCACCACCACCACCCCCACCCCCGCCCCCGCCCCCCCGCCCAGATTAAAGAAATGAAGAGACAAGCACAGACCAGGAGAAAATATTTCTCTGAAAAAGGACCTGTGTCCAGAATATATAAATAATTCTTCCAAGCAAATACAAACACAACTCAATTTTTTAAAAATGAGCAAAAGATATGAATAGACACATCAAAGAAGATATACAAATGGAAAATATGCATATGAAAAGATGCCCAACATTATTCATCATTATAGAAATTTCAATTAAAACCATAATGAGGTATCACTATACTCCCAGTTAAAATGTCTAATATTTTAAAAATTGAGAACATCAAATGCTAACAAAGATGTAACATAGCTCCTGGGAAAATAATATTGTACAACCAATTTGGAAAAGTTTGGCAATTTCTTATAAAGTTAAACATGCATTTGGCCCATGACCCAGCAATTCTTCTCCCAGACATTTACCCAAAAGAAATGAGTATCTTCATACAAAATGTATACCAATGTTCATAACAGATTTATTCATAGTATCCCAAATAAAAAACCCACATATCACCAAATGGGGAACGGATAACAAATTGAAGTACATCAGTACAATGGACAGATACTCAACATGAAAAAGGAAAAAACTACTGATGCTGGGTGAATCTCAAAAGCATCATGCTATGATAAAGAAGCTAGACACAAAAAGTTAGATGTTATTTAATTCCATTTATACAAAACTCTTGTAAAGTGAAAATTATAGAAAGCAGTGGCTGTCTATGGCTCCAACTTGAGAAAGAGATCTACTACAAAGTGGCATGAAAGTACTTTTGGGGGATGATAGGAGTAGTCTTGTTTCTTGATGTTGATGGTTATTACATAACTAGATATATTTGTCAAAACTCTTAACTGTCCATTTAAAATGGGTAAATTTTATTATGTGTAAACTATGTTACTCAAGCTAATTTTTTTACACTTGATCATAGCCAAAAGGCCAAGAAGAGATAAAAGGAAAGTTAATTTTTTTTAAGTAATCGAAATAAGGCACTTTCATGTCTTGAATTTAGTTTCCATGTGCCTACTCGGAGCTCAACTCAAATTATCTTGCTAACTTAACCAGACCTTTGTTGGTTATATTCTAAAAGTCCTTCAGCATTATAGTCACAGAAAAATACCAGGATTGTAGTGCTCAGGGCCAGCCATGCAGGTGAAGGCACTCATGAGGTCAGCTGCACATACAGTATGCTTCTACAACTTTGGTGAGAAGCTGGAACTAGAGATACAGATTTGGGAGTCATCTGCAGAAAACAGTAGAAACCACGGAGTTGACAAAATTGTACTCTCCTCACTGCCACCTCTCACCTCTTTCTAACCCACAGAACCACAGAAGATACGTAAGTTAAATCTCAAACCAGTGAATGACTTGAATTTTAAAAGATCAGCTTTTCCATCAGATCCAAGTAGTATCCACTGAATTTAAGCACATTTTCAGTGCATTTATACCTCCAAACTCTGATGTCTCACCTGGTTTAATTTTTCAGTGTGAGTCAGCCTTGAAGTCTCCACAATATTTGACTTAGACGTCTTTTTCGCATTCATTATTTGCTTTAGTGGTTCCATGTTTGAAGTGGGTCGTGGGAAGCGTGCCTTTGCTACTGGGAAGCCTGGGGGGGCTGACCCTTCTTGTTTCATTCTAAAAGGCTGGGCAAAAATTTTACCTTCTGTGAATAAAAGGAGAGAAAAATTGTCACTGGAAGCATCTAGTTTATTTTCTGGTGGTTATATACAGAGGCTACTGTGAGCTACATTGCCCTAAACTTAGAACTAAAAATTAAGGAAAGTAAGCCTACATTTTCAATATTAAGCCAATAAAATGTACACATAATGGAAGTGATTCATCACCTATAGAAGAAAACCAAGAGATCATAATGTGTCACTGAAAAAGTTAGGACTATCTAAAAAGTCCACCAAAGGTCATCTGAATACAATTACAGAGAGAGGGGATTCAATAGGTAAAAACCCCAAAAGTGGTATCTTTTTAGGAGACCAAAAAGTCTCCAAGCAAGCAGTCTGCTTAGAATTACGCTTCTCAAACTCAGTATGTGGGGCAGGGGGAGGAATGAAAACCTACAGAACAAGGACATTATTCTAGAGTATGGGTTTTTTCCCTTCAAAATTTGTAGGAAGAGAAATAGCCCTGGAGGGGGGTGTATTCTGCTGTACAACATAAAAGATGTATCACTGGACTTCACCTCTTTCTTTATTCGAAGATCAAGTTCAAAAAACAAAAGCCAATTACTTCCAAGGTATCCCGGTGATAGCAAGAAGGGCCATGGATTGGGAACTTAACTCTTGTAAGTTTAACAGCACGAGTTAGCCTCCCGAGGCTTGAGCACCTCAAGAACATGGATACAGCTGAGGGCTCAACTCTAGGCACTCAGTGACCCCACAGCCTTCCCTGACCAGAGCATGTAACCCCCTGCCCCGGCATATCCTCGTCCAATGACACATCCACCCCTATTTAAATATTGGTTTGTAAACTCATGATATTCTCATGGTTCACCTATATTAATCTAAATGCAGATTTTTGACAAAAAGAAATACCACCAAAATAAGCACAGAATCCCCCCAAAATGCTCATGTATAGACTCTATACCATCGAGGGTCTAGAGAAACACTACACAGTACAAATGGTCATACTGGTTTTCTGAGCCTTTGAGAATGAGAATGATTGGGAAGGAAAAGCACTGGATGAGCAGTAATAGGAGCTGGGTGTTTAATCCTGGCTGTACCACTTTTCCAACCATGTGACTTTAGGAAAGTCATTTAGCTTTCCTGAACTTTGGTATCCTTATCTGTAAGATGGGGATACTCACCCTACTTGTTTCTGGTGTGCCAATGAGAACCCAAGGTACAATGCTGTGCAATAACAAGGTGCTTATCATTTCACTACATAAACTAATGCAGTGCCTGCTACCACATCAGAGATCAGTGATGTCAAAGGTCAGTTTTAAAACTTTGTTAAACTCATGTTTAATCTTCTTTACATGAACACACTGAACTAATGGTCATTTACAGTGCTCTAGAGAGAGCCGATCCTGTGTTTTTATAATAGATATGATTTACTATGCACTTACTAAACGCTGGGTACTTTACAAACCTCATCTCATTTTGTTCTCAGCACAATTCCAAGAAGCAAGTAGCATTATTTCTATCTAGAGATGAGGAAACGAATGCTTAGACATTGTAAGTAAATTGCCTGACATCACTCAGCTAGTTGAGTAGTAAAGCCGACACTTAACTTCAACCAGCTGGTGGGGCTTAGCCATTGCATACCTCTCCATGTGTCACAAGCGCTCCAAAATGTGCTCACCCACAATACAGTTACCGATGCTAACGTGCTTACCTGCCGGCCATCCTCCCTGCTTCTCCTCTGATGTGCTCTTCTTTAGTGTCAACAAGGAACCTGCCCTGGTCTGCTCTACAGAAACGACATCCGAAGCGGCATTCAGCACTTCAAACATAGACAGGAACCCATACTGCATGTACTGGAATGATCGTCCAAATCGCTTGGCAAATGCCTTTTCAAAATCAGAAAGGAGAACAGGAGATAACGCCAGGAGGTCCTTCAACTCACTCTTCACCACAGCTGGAAGAATAGGGGGCACCCTTCCTCGGTACGGGACTTGCCGATGAAAGCTGGGCCCAGAGCACACGCTGGCCCTTCCCTTCTGCATGGAGTTTCGGACCTTCTGACTGCTCCTCTGTTTTGCAACTAAACTTGCTATTCCTTTGGTGGATTCATCTGGAATGGCTGCAGAGATGTGAAAAAAAGAGATCATATGTAGGTAAAATCTTACTCCCTTCTTTATCCTTTGTACCTGTGGTTATAGAGATATTTTTTAACTCTCCAAAGAGCTGTGTATCTAGGTAGCATGAAAATATGAACCCTTGGTTCTTTCATTTTTTGCATTTTAGACAACAGCTTATGAGCTCCTCTACCATATATACTATCCAAAGTTAAAACCCAATATATCATCATTATATCATGCTAATTTACTCCTGAAAGGCTTGAAACTCTTGAGATGAACAACAAACTTCCTTATGATTTTGCTTGCATGTGCTTCATGGAATTAAAAAAAAAAGATTTTATAATTAAAAGGTCACATTATTGTTTCTCCCAAATTAAGGTTCCATAATCTGAAGTCATATAACAAAATGCAGTTTTTGTAAATGCACGTTTTTCTGGGGGACGGGGTCTCAATTTTGCCGAAGCTCTAACGTCACCAACAATCTCCAAGGTCCGTATTGCCTCCTCCCCCTTAAAAAAAATTAAAATTCCCTAAGATGCAGGATAACTGCTAAAACTTCACTACGTGATTATTATTCCAAAGTTCACCTTTCAGTATTACAGTCCCATCCCCACAGGGGCAAACACTGACAACGTCCGGCATGTCCATCACCAGCTCCATCGTGGACCGATACCCAAGGATGCGGAGTGGTAAATGGTTCCCCACCATCACCAAGTACTCCTTTTCCAACTGCTGCGGGGTCAAACCATCTTTGGCAGAAATGAGAAGGGACCTTATCTCTTTCCTCAGGCATTCCTGTAGGCGTTCTTGTTCAGACATCGCACCCTACGGGAGGGAAGACAGGAACACCGCTAATAACAGGCAGGCAAACCCAAGATGGAAGAGAAAAGCAAAACATTTGAAACGACCAATGGTGACATATAAACTGCGATGGGAATTTTCAAAGTGTGAAGGCAGAAGCAACATATGGAGCCCGCTGAAACGTGGGTTTCACAAAGCCCCCACGCAACACAAACTCTAAACCTCAACCTGTGTTGATCAATCTACGTGGGACTCAAGAAATCGCGACCACTGGCTATTGCGTGAGACGCCCAAGTTCTGCAGCATTAAGTCGGGCCCAGTTGGGGTCTGACTCGCCTATCTACTCACAAGCCACTCGGGGAACCAGGACTGGGAATGAAGCAAACCCAACGTGGCCTGGCCTCCAAGCAAAGACGCTCGCCCAGCTCAGCGTCCCCCGCCCGAAGCGACGAGCAGCGGCCCGCTTCCTCCTACCGAAGGCCTCTACGCCCAGCGCAGCCCCACTTTGCCCGGGGCAGGCGTCCCCTTCCCCGCCCCCAACGTCTCTCACCAACCCCGGGGGCAGGGGGTGGCGAGTGGTCCTTCCACCTGCCCCGGGGACTACGCACGACCTGGGCGGGCAGAGGCCGGCAGGAAGCAGGCAGGTGGAGCACTCTTCTGCGCGCGGCCCTGTGCGGTCGCCCCTCACCGATCTCGCCCCGACGCCGGCGTTGCCGTTGCGGGCCCGGGAGAGTCCAAGGAGCTCTGCGGGGAAGGGCGACTACGGAGAAGCGCGGTGGGGGCGGCCGGCGCGCCTGCGCAGCGCGCCCCGGCGCCGCGATCCCGCCCGAGGGCGCGCGGTCCTTCGGACGGTTGGGCCGGGCTGGCCGTCCGGGGGCCCGGTCTGAGCGCTGCCCCAGTGGCGGGGCCGCTTGGGCCGGCTCCCAGGCAGCGCTGGCTGCCTACAGGGGTCGCCGGCGGCCTACCTCCTCCGACGTGGTTGGAAGATGCGAGGTGGGGCTTCGCCCGAGAACCTCTCCCACCACCTTCCGCGTCTGGGCAGGTCGGCTGTCCTGCCCTAGGGACCGGCAGCCGGGAGAAGGTCAAGAAGTTCTTAACCTGGGTGTGCCTCAGAATTATCTGTGGAGCTTATTTGAAAGGAACGGGGTGGGAGGGGGGAAGCTCAGGTCTGATCAGCAAGAGATTCTGATTCAGTAGCTGTAGGTCTATTAGGGGTGATTACAGGCAATTCCGATGCTTGGGGGAGGATTCCTGCAGTGCTAGAGGAATGCCTGCGGCAAGAGCTTTCCAGGGGAGACAAAAAGAGCTGGGAAACTGAAGACGAGGATGCATTTACTGAATGGGTGGGATGAGCCAGATATATAAGGTTCTTGAAAACCAGAAAACAGTAGTTTAAGAGATAGAATAGAGAGGGATAGTATAGGGATAGTATATTACCTTAAAATGTACAATCTAACTAAAGGAGCAAGACAAACCAGAAGATAACCAAGGAATTTCAATCAAGAAGGAAACCTAAGCAGACACATCTACCTTACCTTCTATCTAAAATTTGAAAATTCCGGGAGAGAGGTGGGACCCCTACAAAGGGTTACCTGTAAAGCAATGGAAATTAGATTGCCATTGGATTTTTCAGTGAAGCAGTATTTTCCAAGCCCAAACTGAAACCCTTTGCCGGGTCGGTTCAACATTGAAGTGGGAGAAAAGACATTTTCAGACATTGAAGGATTCAGAAAGTTTATCATCTCACTGGGGAATGACTTATGCAAAATGATTGAAAAAAAAATAAAACAAAACACCACATTATCCCAAATTCTCATCTCCAACTATCTAAATAATAGATGACACATGTTGAGCATTTACTACAGGCTCTTTACATAGACTGTCTAATTTTCTTCCGAATTACACTGAGAAAGGTACAATTATGATCCCCACTTGAAAGTGAAGAGACTGATAGACAAGGATATAACAAAAAGTAATAGGCAATTAAAATATAAAACTTATGATTAAATCTAGACAGTTACTGGCACATAACGTGAAAAAAGATTTGTGAAAAGGTATTTTGGAGCTAACTCCCAGATCAGTAGCTGTAAGCCAAGTGTCAGGGGCTGGCTGGGTTGCTTCAACAAGGAGACCCCACTTGGAAGAGCCTCTACAATTGGAGTCCTCACTCGCTTGGCTTTACAATAACGCACTGTCATCCTCCAAGACTGTCTTTTGTGGGGGCTAACCTGGGAAATGAATGGGAATGAGGTGCCTCTTTCACACTTTCAAGGCGACATTCGCCTCCGCAATGCTCCAGATATGTGGCAATGCTCTTGATGTACTATTTGGGGGCTCCAGGTGCATTTTCTACCAGCATAGCCCTTACTCAATGAGTGAACACACCAGTGAAGACATTCTGTCAGTTGCTAAGATGACCTGGTCTAGCTAGTCACTTGGCAAGTAGGGTACATAACCATACGGTACATTCAGTCCCTCTAGCCCTGCCTAAAGGTGAACTTGGACCAAAACTCAGTTCATTTATCACCTAACCCCTATATAAGCTCAGAATGTTAATGGCCAACCATGACGTTTTATGTCTCAGAAATCAGTGACAGCCACTGAACAGTTTGGGTACTTTCTTTTCTCCAGAGCAGTTTTCCATAAACAATAACAAGGCCTTTGGGGAAAGGCTGGGATGAAGCTTTGCGGTGCTTAGGGACAGTGTTTCAGCAGCAGCCTTCCTTCTGGGCTTCACTCCAGAAGCTCTGGGTCTGGAATCTGATTTAGTTCTGGGAACGGCCTGACAAGTCATGTCTCTCACTCCTGAGATATCTCCCCAGACCTAGAACTGTACTTCCTTGGTTTTTTGCTTTTTGTTGTTACACTAGTCAAAAAGACTTACTAAGATTGTTCAGCTCATTCCTTGGATCCTACAATTAATTAACCACAACCAGAAAGCTCTGTGAGTCAAGACCAAGCATTTTCCATCCTGCCGCCCGTTGTGATGACCAGAGCCCTTTTTCTCCTAGTAATTAACTGTCTCCACCTGGTCGTCTCCCAGCCCTGCTTGCATGTGGGAGTGTATTTTCATTGCATCTGCTCCTACCAGCATTCTTGCCTTAGAAAACAGCCAGTAAGGAGTGTGTGTGTGTGTGTGTGTGTTTGTTGAGCTTCTGAAGATTTAATATATGCCTCGTGACCAGAATGAGAGAATCTTTTGAAAAACATACCTAGGGATGGGTGAGTTAGAAGCTCATGATAGAACCAAGACAGCATTCTTGCCTCTCAAATGCTTTGTTGTTGGTTTTTTTTTTCCCTAACATTATGACCCATGGCAGGTGGGGGGACAGGGAGGATTTGATGCCACTGTTCAGTTCTGCTCCCCGCAGCAATTACTCCAAGCCTTTGCCCTCCCTTTCACACCTCTTACCCACTCCTGCCTCCCCCTACAGAATGACTCTGCTCCAACTTCCAGAGAAAATGGAGGCTCTCATATGTGAAAGTCCTCAACTTCCACACCAGGCCTCTACGCTAGCCCCCCTCACGTCTTTCCTCCTGGTCTTGGAGGGTGAGGGGCCATCCATTCTGCCTATCCATCTTACTCTTGAGTCTATCCCCCAACTCTTTTTGGACCAAGACCTTGACCTTTGATTGCTATTACAGTCTTGTACATTCAGCCTCTCTTTACATACTGCCTTCCTATAACATAAAGCTGTGCACTAATCTAATCCTTTTTGTCTTACACAGACACAGAGAGAGAGGGAAAGAAAGAGACAGAGAAACAAACTCTTTTGACCTACACCCTCCTCTAGCCACTCCTTCATGACCAAATCCTTGAATAAACAGTCCGCATTCATTTTCTACCCCAATTTTCCATCCACCATTCAATACTCAATCCAAAACAATGAGCCTGCTACTCTGGACATCTTTCTTACTTTACTTTTTTCAAAATCAACGACAAATCTTCTAATTGACAAACCTTAAGGACTTTTCAATCTGTTTATCTTAGATGATCTCCGCTGTTCACTTGTGCTGTCCCTTCCCCTTTGGAAAATCTCTCCTCTGCGGATTTCTATGGCACTGAGCACAGGGCTTGGTTCCTCGCCTTCTGCTCTGTTTCCTATTACTGTTATTCCAATGTGCGCCAGGGTTTTCCTCGGCCACTCTCCTTTTTAAGATTTCCCCTTCTCCTTGAATGACCTTTTTCACTCTGTTAATTTCAGCTTTGGCTGATACTTTCCAAAAGGCATGTTCATTCAAGCAACAAACATTCTTCAGCTCCTACTATGTGCCAGGCACTGTTCTAGAATATAGAACTACATCAGTGAGCAAAACAAAGCAGATAAATATGTTATACATATTGTCAAGTAAGGGTAAGCGCGCTTAAGAAAAATAAACCAGGGTAAGGCAGTGAGAAGGGGTTGCTTTAAGTGGAGTATGTATACTTTTGTTTAACCTCTATGACATTGGTTTCTCAACATATGGTTCCAGAGCAGCAGCATAACCTGGAAATTTGTTAGAAATGCCCATTCTCAGGCCCCACCCCGGACCATTGAATCAGAAGCAGGAGGGTAGGGGCGCAGCAATGTGTTTTAATAAGCCCTGCGGGTGACTCTGATGCCCACCGTAGCGAGAACCACCCCTCTGGAGCAGTTCTGTCACGTGTGCCGTGAACAGATTACAGGTGTGCTGTCTAACACCTATATTCTCAGCCCATGGGGCAGCTTGAGGGTTGGGGGAAGGGTGTGACCCAAGTAACATCCACCCAGACTTTTCAGGTGGCAACCAATTGGGGTTAGCTGGCTTGCCCACAGGCCTGCAGGTGGCAAGGAAAGAGCCATTCAGCACTCACTGATATGTTAAAAAAGCAGGCACCAGAAATAAATCCAGGCCATTAATTTATGGTAAATTAATATTTGGTAAAGGAGGCAAGAACATACAGTGGGGCAAAGATAGTTTATTCAATAAATGGTGTTGGGAAAGAAAATTGGACAGATATGTGCAAAAAAAAATGAAACTAGACCACGTTCTTATAC